GTTAAAGTTACATAGAAATCATGTATGACGGAAATATTCTACATGAAATTGTCTAAAAAATATCCCGCAACAGCATATGTCTATCTTTTATAGTTGACTCACAATAGCACGTGTAATTATATAAATAAAGTCATTCTTTATAGCACAAACCTGAGAACAAAAACTATAGTTTACACTACAGCTCTACACCGAAGCGAAGCGAGGGCGGGCCACTAGTATTTAATATTTTGTTACTTTAACTGCTGATTACGCAGTTCTACAAAAAAGAAGAACTGGTCAATTGCCGCACACAGGTCAGGAGGTCTACTTCTTTCTCCGAAACGAACTTTCGATAGCGAAATTTAATTTCGTCAATTTAAGGTTGTACTTAATTTTAACGATAAACTATCAAATTGAAGCTTTCTTTGAGTAGGCTTTAAAATTTCTACCTCAATCTATATTCCGAAGACGAATATTATTATAATTAATAAAAACGAACCAGAATCATAGTGAGAAAAGTGCGAAGTTTCGAACGAGATTTAGTTTTTCGTTGAATTAGAGTAGAACTCCTGGTCAGTTGCATTCACGGGACTTAATTTGTTGTTAATGACCTCTAGAATGAACCCCTTTCATAAATCAGGGAAAGCAATTCCCGATTAAATACTTAGTAATTATTTTAACCCACAATGTCCTAAAATTCTTTATATGTCTCTGCCATGCCGATTTGATTTCTATCCGAATGCAAATGCAAAATTATTTACACATGGACATGTTAACGCAAGAAGACCAAAGTCTAGTTGCGTTTAAATTAGTTGATAAAAAAATGAGCTTGCTCTCGCTTCTACTCGCGCTCTGCTCTGACTCATGCCGAGTCCGTTTTATTTAGTTGGGAATGTCTCAGTGATGTATTAGTCATTATAATGTATGTATAATGGCGGATATAGGAAGCACTAAAACCGCTGACCAATAAAAACTGTAGTAACGTGGATTTTTTAATAATATTTTATATTTACCAAACAAAAGTATTCTACTGTTTTTATAAACTGCATTTAATGAAACTGATGGGTACATTTCTATATCCATATTGATAAATTATTAAATTAAATAACTATTTATTTTTCTTTCCGATTTGATTCCTACAAATAAATAGGAATTCGTTTATACGATTACGTCTAGATATGTCTTACATTAAACATCAGAAACCCCCGACGATAAAGACAATATTACATTGAAATATATACTTAACTAAAATATTTTCCTGACGACTGAGCTGAGACCTATGAAATTTCTACATATCTGGCCTAATATGTAGAAATAATATCTACATTTTAGGCCAGATCGGCTAAATTTAAAACTAACATTTGGACAGCAGTCTCGCCTTTTAATTTTTTATACGTTATGATAAAAACACTGTCGTATTTAGTTGTGGCTTAGGTTAGATCCATTCTAGAATTAGTCATAAATTCCTAATGCCTATTTAAAAAAAGTTTATTCATATGTACATCGAGACACGACTTAATAAGTGAGATTTATTTAAATACAAATCGACATTATAAACATACAGACATCATGTTTCTATACATCATAAAACGATAAGCGATGCTGCTATGTTTAATCTCGTAAGTTTTTTACAGAAATATCTAAGAAACTGCTAATTTCGAACAGTCGAAGCACTCTTCAAAACTCCATATTTATTTAGTTTTCTCGCAAGGTTAAACCAGTTCCCGACCAAGAGTATGAATCAGCGACATGTTGATTGTACTGAAACCTGTTTGGGCTATTGGACTATTTATTTATAATTTGTTAGAGCTGAAATCGAGCCTCTCTTTATAAATTTTCGTTTACAATCATCTTCTGTTGATAAATATTGATTTATCATTAATTTATGAAACTCAATGAGAGAAATCTATCCAATAGCAACATAGAATAAGGATCGTGTTAACAAATTTTGAACTTTCTTTAATTGTAAGTCTATATAGAATTAGATATTTCATTTTGTAACGAAGAGTAGAGCTTGTGGAACACGTTAAAAGTAAATAAATAAAATGAATATGTATTTTTGTACTGTACAGAATTGTTGATGGTTAGTTTCTGCGTTATATCTAAAACTTTCGTATCTCAATAATGTTGACCGATTATTTATAGCATAATATTTTTCTTAAACAGTTTTCTGTAGATAAAAGTCGGTCTTGAGAGTTAGAGATCAATTAATACCTCATCATCATCAACAACCTATTAATGTCCCCACTGCTGGGGCACAGGCCTTCTCTATGGATGGAATAGGGAGATTGGGCCATGACCCACCACGTGGGCCCAGTGCGGATTGGCGGGTGCTAACGACTGCAGATGCAGCCGGGACCAACTGCTTAACGTGCCTTCCAAAGCACGGAGGTACTCGAGATAGAAGATTTTTGGTCACCATCCAATGACCGACCATTGCGAAAGTTGCTTAACTTCAACGATGGCAGTCAAACGCGCTAGCCACCCGCGCCATCGAGCTCCTCATTAATACCTACGCCTACCTTAAATCAAATGGAGTGAAAATGGGGTCGGAAGTTTGTATGGGAAACCAATATTTTCATGCAGACGAAGTCGCGACCTACAAGTCGATGATAAAAAAAATCATCATCATCAGCCTATTAATCATGTTGCCAACCACTGCTAGGGCACAGGCCTTCCTTATGAATGGAAAAGGGAGATAAAAGGTTACACTGACTGAAATATAGTCATGATTCTTTTAGCAAGTTGTTCGTGAGTCCAACAATACTTGCAGTCGTACAATGGGTCACTCGTTGCATGCCTGGGAAAATGTTACCAAACCTTCTTAAGAACATCTCGTTAGCTAACTTTATTGTGTTACGTCACACGTGTCCCTTAGCTAAGTGAGGTCAAATTAGTGTGAATAGAGGTTTATTTAGTTACATTATATGTATATCTTAGATTATTGTCACTTGCAATATAGTTTCCCCAAAGTATTCTGCCCTATAATAGGTCAATCTTATTACTTACATTTAAGGCTTGTCAGCTTGATAGTCGGATAAACTAATTAACTCGTTTTTAATATTATTTAGATATTGAGTTCATTTCTTCTCAACACAATCTCAATACACAATAAATAAAATCAGTTTCATGATATTAGATAACGGACAGTGTTCTAGAAGGCTAGCAGTAATGTATTCTTTTCTTAGTTAGTTATCTATCTTCTAATAATATTTTCTTTTGAATAAAATCGGAATATGAACACATAACATGTGGGACTTTGATTTTTTGAAGTGTATACTTAAAATATTCAACATATGAGTTGAAACCAAATCGAATTTGTATGATACAGATTTTTAAGTTTCTATCCCTTCTTAAACCAAAATATTGTAACACTTGAATAACGACAGTTCCAAGTAGGGCGATGTCGTTTCATCTATTATTTTGCAGTAGAAGCTCAATTCTGCCGTTTTAATTGAGTCAAGCAAGACCATTAAACGAAATCTCATTACTTAACGTCAATTCTAAAAGGTAATTTGACTAACACACGCGCTGCCACTCCCAGTTCGATGGCTCGCCTGAAATTGGGAACAAAGTGGAAATATTTTGCTGAAACAAACACAGTGTTGTGTATAAGGGGGATTTTTATGAATAATATAAAAAAACTCAGTTTTATTAGACTATAAAAGATAATACAGACATAATTTATTATTATGACAAAAGCCTACCTACTACCGGATATAGATAGATAGTTCTTTTGAAATTCGTACAAACTAACAAATCATATTGATTTAGTATCTTATTTCTCTGGTACTGAGGGAGGGTCACAATTGTTTTTTCGTATAATACACCTAGCTGTATTAAGAGTGCTGCAGTATTTAGCCATCATCACCTTGCCGGTTTGAACGTACCCTGTTAGGCTCCGGCTACTTATTTTACTAAAATTATAAATGTGAAAGTTTGTTTGTTTGTTAATCACATCTCCCAAAATAATGCAGTTTTTAAAATGATGTCCCCAGTTATCTTTGTTTTTGTTACCCAATCATTTCCATTCCACACATAATATGACACGCTTGGAACTTCCGTTAAACTAGTTCCTGATTATATAAATTATTATTAACTTTATTTTTTTATTATGATCGTTGTTTTTATTAAAAATAGAATGTTGGGGCTTCTCACACCAATCAATCCATCGCCAATCGATCGTAAAATGAACACATTTAGTCAATGTATGGATGGACTATGAAGTCAGTTGTTAACTAACCTATTGCTCGATGTCGATGGTCCTCCTAGATGAATTATACAAACTCTAGTTTTAAATGACGGTCGCAATCAGATACCTTTAAGTTTGCGCCTCCATAATGGAATCATTCCAACAGCCACCATTCCAAACCAAGCGATCGATATTGATAACAGAACATAATGTGGATTACATCGACCAACTATCGATCGATTGATGTGGGGACACAGGTTTTCTCTGTAGATGAAATTGGGAGATTAGGCTATGACAATGACCCACCACGTAATTCCAGTGCAGATTAGTGAGTAAACAACGCCAGATGCAGCCGGGGTCAACTGCTTAACGTACCTTCCGAAGGCCGGAGAAGCTTGATATTATATTCTTCTGAGTGGCTGATCTATCAACGCACAGCTCAAACTCTCAAACCACTGAACGGATTGCGCTGAGATTTGGCACACATATAGATATTATGATGTAGGCATGCGGTAAAGAAGGATTTTCCAAAACACAGGAGGTGTATTGGAAAATCCTTTTTAGTGCGTAAAACGGGGGTTCGACGTTGTATGGGAAACCAATATATCCAGGCAGACGAAGTCACGAATACACTTTAAAGGGATTTGATATTTTTACATATTCACGATGTTTCGGATCTTTATGCGAATATTGTTTAATTTCCACGATCGCAGAACGAACGCGCTATCCACTTGTCCCTGAAGCACCTTTGTGCGATTATCCCGTACTCGCTTATTTCAAGTCCCATCTCATATTTTTTTGTACTCTGACCTATTATCTCGTTCCACAGGTGTCCAGACGGTGTACAACACTTCAAGGTGTTAAGGGACGCGTCGAGCAAGTTCTTTCTGTGGGTGGTGAAGTTCAATTCGCTCAATGAACTGGTGGACTACCACCGCACCGCGTCCGTCAGCCGCTTGCAAGACGTCAAGCTCAAAGACGTTGTCCCAGAGGAGGTAAGACATAATTATTATTTACTAGCTCTGCCCCGCGGTGTTACCGGTTATGTACAGTTTATTAAGGATATTTTCCTGCAGTAAAATGTAGCCTATGTGTTAATTCAGGGTGTCAGCTAACTCCATTCCAAATTTTATTAAAATCGCTCAAGCCGTTTAGACGTGAAGAAGAAACAAACATGCACACTGGCACACTTACAAATTTTGGCCTTTATAATATTAGTGTGATAGGCACTAATATTTATAATAAAATAAAAATTAATCACAATTCAATTCAGGCTCATAATAAAATTTATAACATTGCAATTGTGATGATGACTAACTAACTTTTTTCTTGATCTATCACGTTGATTATCAAAAGGTATTGGACATGAATTTTTCTTTTTTAACATAATCTAAACATTACAGAGATATATTGACGTCACATCTTGGTACATTTTTTTTATTAAAGCTGGTCTAAGTAGGTATAATATCAAATATAGTCATAAAATATGTGCAGTTTTATGAACTAATACGAATAAAATGAAGTGAGAAATATATCTCGGATTCCAATATCGCCGATCCGAAATTTCACATAAGCGCGACGCCCTCAACTGTGCGAACTGATAAAACTATTTATCACATGAAGTTACTTATGTGATACGTTATAACCTTCTCGCGCGTCATAAAATATGTTTACGTCATCACTACGTTAATTGAAACTAATTGAATTCTATTTTCCTGTCACTTTATATAGGAAACACAATTTTCCTTATGTTATAACTGGGAAAGCATATTTGCGTGTTTTCAAGGAAGGAAAGTTTTGATATCTAAAAAACTAAACATAAATCAAGACCATTATTTTTTATATGTACGTTTTTAAATATGTACGTACGTACGCAACTAAACCCTGCTAGCGCTCAGACCCGACATGTCTATGACTTGGCCTATTTCTTTAAATTGCCTTGTCCTTAAACAAGTCACAGATTATAATTAATGAATCACTTACGAACTAAAGTCTTATCTATAGCTTAATAGCCCTTGCATTGGTATGTGATCGAAAGTTCCAAAACTCTTATCAGCTAAAGGCTGGAGCGTGATGAAAAGAAACGCTTTCTTCACTATTTAATTATTAGCTTTCTCTTCTTATTTTGATCCAAAGATCTTCGAAAATCCTTTTACTGTAAATCTAAATAAATGCCCCATTTTTTATAATGATCTCATCACATAAATTGTTTGTTCCTTAGTAATTATTGTATTTAAACTTACTTAACAAGTTAATTATAACATTATGTATGTATACGTTATTCTGCTTGATTTGAAACTCATAGTCCATAAAGCGCGAATAAAATTAGTATTTATTGCATTATGTTACGCACGACATAATACTATTGCGTTTTTAATTTCTGCTCTGCAATAACATAGTTAGACTTTCATAATGTCACAAAATTCAGCACGATTAAATGGTGCGAGGAAATTTCACATTTCGTCTAGTAAGCCTCCTACGTGACAAATTTCGTGTTATATATTTCGCCAGTCTATGCAAGTATCTACATTAACGGCAAAATTGGATACTTCACTATGGACAGAAATCCGAAAGAATCACAGTCCATCCCATCATGTGACGAAGTGTGTGCTCCAGCTGTAACCAATAGCATTATAACTAGTAAAACCGGGATAGAAGGCAGAAACCCAGAGGAGCAATAAAAGACAAATATTTTAACGAACTCCACACTCCTCTTGAATGGAAACACGTATAGTAAACTTACTTAAAACAATATATTCAGTGGTGTTACATTCTAAATGCGAGTACGTAAAGTAACCAGGGGATCAATCGCGGGATTGCTGAAGCTATCGAACATTTTGTTATTTCTGACCGTCGAAGTTTTTTTTTCGTTTGCATTGGTTATAACTTAATGATATTGAAGAAAATGAGCGTAAGGTATTTGAAAACCTTCGACGGTCAGGAATAACAAAATAAAGTCGTAATTTGTAGCCAAAACCATAGCAATCCCGTTAGGCAATTGAGCCGCAGAGCTGAAATTGTGTCAGAAACGAAAAAGAGATAATCTATGACAGTGTTTCATAAAGTAGGGTTCACGCACCACTTAAGGATCCGTAGCATGTGTATCAATCGGGGGGCGTAGTTAATATTTTATTAAATATCAATAACGCTTGTTTTCGTTTCGTAAAAAATTCTTTGACAGGGCTCCGTAAATTTTGATAGTGGGCCGTGCCTAACAGTTTAAGAGACACTGCTCTATGCCATCGTATTTTACCATATAAAGATAGTCTTTTTAAACCACCGCACATATCAAACCTTCAAATATTATGACTTCCTAATTTCGTGAGTATAGATATAGACAAATATTTGTGTACCATACGTCAGATTACTTCCACGCATTAAATTTACTATGACGCGTTTACGTCAAACTGTTTTATTGGCACAACTGCATAACATAGTGGGAAAAACGTGTAATTTATACCTACGGGTAAGTTAAATTATTCGCGTCTTTATGACTTTGTAATAAGGGCGCTGCTGCCCATTTTTAATGTGGTACGAACGAGTGTCTTATTTTGTATAAAGCGTCTTAAACTGCGTTGTGGTGACTTATAAAATGTTGATATCCGAACCGAAATAACGTAACATAGATATTACTATAATTATTCATACATACAGTTAAGCATATCGGTTTTTCATTGAGGAAAAATGCAAATATTTCCTTTGTGACATAATTTCGTAACATAGTATTTACCAATAACTCGTCGCCGCGGTAAATAAATTTTACGTGTTCATTGAGGATAATGAGGAGTATTTTTCCAGGTTGCTCTGTTTTCAGTTTTCTCCCTCCTGTTAAGAATCGGAGACTTTGGGTGATTTACTTGCGATTTATTTGTATCTTTTATAACTACTATCTAGCGAATATCGACTAAAAGCAAATTGACAATTATTCCCATATTGTGTGGACTTCAATCCAAGTATCTCAAAATAATTATAAGTTAATGTAGACTATTTGCAAATACTATTTTCCTTTTTTTGTACTGACCGTTCTACTGCAGCTAGTTTACGGTAAAAATGATAATATGCACAACTTCAAACGCCTCCATCTCTCAATAATGTTCAATAAATTAGATCAAATTAATTACTACGCCATCAGAGATATGTTTTTGTTGTAACATAATGTATTAGAATTCTGATTTTCTATCTCATTAATTATCAAAAAAAAAAAACGTCTAACCTCCGTGAGTTTTTTTTATAATTTGTTCATTAATAATTATTTTATAGGACTCGAAACATCACCCGTAAAATGCAATATTATACTAGTGCATATCTACCTACGCGCCGATCAGAGTACGGCAACGGCGCAATTCTGTAATAGCGGTATTAAAACATGACAATAAAGTAAATTAATAAATTTCGGATGCTTTGCACTAATACGTTATTTATTGTATTTGAAAATGAAACAGAGCTAGGTATTAAGAATATTAAACGATGGATATAATAAATAACATTAACGAATATATTAACAGTTACGACTGGAATGTTACAAATACCCTTACCAAGATTTGAACCCAGTCCCCGTAGCATGAGCACCACAATTTACATTACATAACGTTGTTTATCGCGTCGAACTGTCAAACTCCATAGCAATTTGACAATTGAAAGTGATAAAACCGCGTTATATATCATATCGCGGAGCTCAAGCAAGGAGGGGGCGGGGGCGGGGGCAGGACCTGATAGGCACGATCGTTATCGTAACATCGAACTGTCGTCAAACATTCATGGTGGTCATGGTTCTTCTAATCTAAAATAAAATAGTGTCTATTTTTTGTTCGTATCATGAGTTGACGGGTCTAAACACCAGAACCGTATTGTCTGTTGATTTGATTGATTAAATTGTACGATAGCCAGGAATTAGTTTCGGTCACCTCCTTAAGACTGTCCGTTGATTACCTACTAAGTTACCAGAATGTAACAATTATTGATTCTTTAATATGAACTTAGCCTCAGTCCCTATGTTCGATTCACATTATGTGAGTTGCTGAGGACTTGGACAAAATTGGAGTGATTATAATGGTTTTCTTTCTTAAAAAACCCAACCCAAAAACTAATTTTAGATTTAAAAAAAATATAACGGTACTCGATTCCAGCTTTCTTATTATTTTCATCAAACAATAAATTAAACTAATAACTCTTTGCTGAGTCATCACGATATCGTTTACTAATATTGACAATGGTGCTCTTGTAATATATTTGGATTATTTCACAAAAACGGGAAACCGCAAATACTCTTTAATTTCCTATTCAGTTTAGTAAGTCAACTCGGGTATGTATATAACCTTTTAATAGTAATCAAACCACCTAGGTCGTATTGTGGGATGAATGTTCTAGGCGTTAAGGACGACTTCTGTGGCTGAGTGGTTCATACGCTGGGTTTGATGGTGTCGCCGACTCGAGGGTTCGAATCCCGGTGGGAGCAGATGTTTGTGTGATGAATACGAGTATTTATACTCCAGTCATGGATGTTTAATATGTATTTCTATATAAATATACTTATATATGTACAATATAATATTATGTATTCTAACCGTTACCCTAGTATCCCAAAACACAAGCCTTACTTACAGTGCTTACTTTGGGGCTAGGCTAATTGGTGAGTGTTGGAAATATGTATATATAATGGTGTCCATTCTGGCACGATTCTCTAAATCTAAACTTATATTTGACAACAGTGTTTCCTTGTCATTCTCTATACAGAATGAAAAAGAGAGACTGATGTTAAATTTAGTTTTAAGTTTAGAGAATCACGCCAGAATCGACACCAATATATAAATAAGGAACAACGATGGTGGCCGTTCTCTGCAAAACGGGTAAACGTTAAACAAAGCAGAATCGACTGAATGTCTGTAATAAAAATCACCCGTCGTCTGTGTAATTTGTAAATAGTATGGCAGCGTGACCCTGATAAAACTACGAAAATAACCCGGTCAGCCGTTCGACTTGCTTATAATCTTTGGTTGCCGTGTAAATGATGACTGCGATCTGCCTATGTGTTTTGTATTACGTCCATGTACTTAGTAACCATGTGTTGACAATTGATTATAACTATTTGCTCGGCACGGACTAGCGATACAAACCTTTCGTTAACAGCCCTTTTACAAAATTGCGCCGCTGCCGTACTGATCGGCGCGTAGGTAGATTTGCACTAGTATATATTGCATTTTACGGGTGATGTTTTGAGTCTTATAAAATAATTATTAATGAACTAATTATAAAAATATATACATATTTCAGTAGTTCGATGATGATAGATTAGTTTTATGAAACGAGGTAAACCTGCATTATTTTTTGGGAAAACTCACGGAGGTTAGATGTTTTTTTTAATAATTAATGAGATGGAAAATCAAAATTCTAATACATTATGTTAAAACAAAAACATATTTCTAATATCGTAGTAATTAATTTGATCTAATTTATTGAACATTATTGAGAGATTTAGGCATTTGAAGTTGTGCATATTATCGTTTTTACCGTAAACTAGCTGCAGTAGAACAATCATTACAAAAAAGGGAAAATAGTATTTGCAAATATTCTACATTAACTTACAATAGGAAAAATAAATCTACCGTTTACTTCTATTGAAAATAGTCAAAATCTTTTCTAAGGGGGTAAACGAGGCGCTCAAAAATTACGATTTTTTTGCTAAAAATGTGAATGGGCTCTTAATATTTTATAACCTTTGTTATATAGTTCGTTTTCTATGTATATCTCAATTTTGTAAGCGTGCGTTTCGGAATCCTTGTGAAAAACTGCTTCTGTGATTTTATCAAGATGCTGCTGCTAACTTCATATAAGGTAGATAGAAAAAGTTTATTTAGTATAGAGCGTTTCCAGATAAGTAATTTATTTTATGCTTCTACACAATAGGTATAAGCATAAAATAAATTACTAGTGCTTACACGCGAAATCTCTGTGAACTCTATGCGATTTCTTAACGAACTTGCATTCCTTATTTTTACTCTTAAAGTATTAATTCGCGACGAAAAGCAGTAACATGTTCACATAACAATATTTTCTTTGACTCCATAAGTACCAAACTTTTTTTAAATCGATTTTGCTGTTTATATTTAATTTGAAAGCGTAGACTTTTGTATTTATTACTCTAATCGGTGCCTGTGACTTTGCCTGCGTGGATCAATTGATTTCCCATACAAACTAAACTTTTTAACCCCTTAAAGATTTTTTCTGGGATAAAAACTACATGTTCTTTCCCGGGGCTCAAACTATCTATACAAAATTTCATACGGTTCAGTTTACTAAGAATGAAGAGGTAACAGACAGACAGACACACTTTCGTATTAAATATTATTATGGATGGATTAGTTGGTAATAATCAACGAAATGGATGCCCCTTTTTTTGTTATTACCAGTATGATTAATCCCCAGCGGATGGAGAAATTAGACTTAGTTCTTTTGTAACATAAGCAGCTAAGTAATATCCATACTAATAATATAAATGCGAATGAATATCTGCCTGTCTGTTCCGTATGTCGTTACCTGTCTGTTCCGTGAATCTTCTATCTCACAGACATCAACGCAAAAGCACTTAAAGATAGGTAGCGTTGTTTGACAATCTCTGTAAGGTGGTAATTAAGAGAGCTTTAATTCAAGCTGAAAGTCTGCTTTGCCCTAGTCGTCTGTATCTTTGTTATGTAGCTATGAGATCTCTATACTGCCTTTTTTTGTTGTGACTGAAATACCGCAGACAATACAATATTTTATTGTTTTCCTGTATGACAGTATTTATAAACTCGCGAACAACGAATTCGAAGCAATTTTATTGCAGAAACCGGCTTACTTTTGAAATGTATAAGAAATTTTCCCCTGTTCTATATAGCCCTACTGACATATCTCCACTAGTAGGGATACTTGGATTTTTTTTCCAATAATCCCTATCGGTTGGGATAAATGGAACTTTCTATTCCATATATTCCTACTGATCCGCACTGGTAGAGATAATTTATAAAAAAAAGATTCACTATCACAAGTAATTCTGGATCACCTAGTTAATCATATTAAGAAACTCTTGAAAACTCATCCTTACTTATAGCGATAAATGGAAAAAAATATCCAATTATCCCTACCAGTGCGTATCAGTAGGGATGGAATAGAAAGTTCCATTTATCCCAACTGGTAGCTATAAATGAATAAAAAAACTCCCAAATGAGAGTAGGAATATATGGAACAGGGGGAAATTTCAGTGGGTTTGAGAATATTATGTTCATGTTCCTTTTTTGATGGGAGATGTAAAATTTAATTTAAAATCACAGAGTAGGTACAAAAAATACATAAAAGACATCTTTTCATTACTCTTTAGAATTATTCTATCCAAGTATAAAATAGACATAATAAAATATGTTTATAAAACCCGTAACATAAAAATTGGGTAGGTCACTTATTTTACTCTTCTCCAAACTTTGGCATTACCTCAATAAATAAAATTAATATTGAATACATAATATGGATACTTAGTTTCCAAATCAGACATTTCAATATTTACTACAAAATAATTCATATAATAATATGTATTCGAGCATATCCATTTGAATATAATGTCTATTTACATATGAAATGTTATTAAATTGGCACTGAACTTGTAATATATGTAGCGCAATACCTAATTAAATTCCCTATTATGAATATGTATAAATGTAATAAATCGGTCACTCGCTGTGTTACATTAATTAAACTGATTCAATTAATCTCCTTGCGCATAGGTTATTATTAAGATTAATTGCTGAGTTAACATGGGGTTGCTTAAATGAAGTGTTATAATAAATTTAAAAAAAACATTGGTATTGGTAAGATAATAAACTTTTTGCTTTGTATGTGACGAATAAAATAGAGCTCAAACTATTAACTAATCTGTGCGTTTGTGTTGAATAAAATAAAATAATCAATATAAGAAAACTAGAAAAAGGACCGCCTGCGTGTGTGTGTCGAGAAAGATCTGAACATTCAATAAAATTAAATACGTAATAAACAATACAATGCACTTCTGTATTATTATTGAAATACCGTCCTTATTATACACAATTGTCTCTGTTGTTCTTTTATATGCCAATACCCGAACAGTGCTAAATCATAGAAATCGAATTATTTGGATAACGTTTCATTTCGAGCTTTTCGTGAATAAAAGGACTGATAAATTTTACGTCGAATGTTTTTTCCGGAAGCGCTTGTTGGAGAACTCGCCAGGATTATAGCTTCATAAAGTATTGATTTTTAGATTGTAGAAATTGCTGAACTTCAATGAGGTGAGCTTTTATCAGGAGCACGGGAAAGAGCCGATCATAAGATTATTTCAAGTCCTTGTTCTTACTTATGATAACTCTTCCGTCTAGTATTATCTCGGTGTCAATAAAACTTTAGTTGTCTATGACACGTCTTTGAGTAGCTCGATGGCGCAAGTGGTTAGCGCGTTTGGCTGCGATCTTTGAAGTTAGCACCTTTCGCATTGATCGATCATTGGGTGGTTGACCAAAAATTTACTATCTCGAGTTCTCCTTAGTGCTTCGGAAGGCACGTTAACTTGTTGGTCCCGGCTGCTGCTGCGGTCGTTAGCACCCACCAATCCACACTGGACCCGCGCAGTGGTTATAGCCCAATCTCCATATGCCATTCATAGGGAAGGCCTGTGCTTCAGCTTTGGGGACATTAATAGGCTGATGATGACGAAATCTCTTCAGTGTTCATTGTTCTAATAAAAATCTATCCAAGTATAATATGAAGGTTGTCTACAGCTGATGTATCGGCTATTGAATATATGGATAGAGTTTCACACAATTTACTTATGATAACAATATCTTGAGGACTGAAGTCCGATGTGAATGTGTGTATAAGGATAGGAGTAGGCTTAGAGACAAAATTTCGACTACTTACACGCTGCATTGATAGTAGAATTCGTAGATGACGAAGTTGTTTTAATTTGCTTTATTATTGTTTACAGATGCTGGTACAAGCGCTATACGATTTCACTCCACAAGAGGCGGGCGAGCTGGAGTTCAGGCGCGGTGACGTCATCACGGTCACCGATCGCTCAGACCAGCATTGGTGGCAGGTATGCGATGCGACAAGTCGATATTCACTTTAAATTTTAGGACTTCTCAGTTTTTTTTTAGTTTAAAGGGTGGCAGACAAGTTTATGGCCCGCCTGATGGTAAGCGGCCTAAAGACGCTTGCGATACAAAAAATATCACGCGCCGATTCCTACCCTGACCCTATCCCCTACCCCGTGAAGTCCTGAAACTTTACTCAACGACAGAAACACGATACCACCAAAAGGTAGTGTTAATTTACTGTGCTCCTCTGTAAGGTAGAGGTTACTTCCCCAAATGGGTGCTCCAGTTCGAGCTGAAATTCCGCTAAGGCCTACCTCGCTTAAAGATCTTATGTTTAAAAGTTCCTCGTAGAGTGAAACCACAGAGTACATAACCGCCGTCTCCTATTATGCAGAAAGTCTGTCCAGAATAAAGCGTCATTTTTGTCAGGCACACATTGATATTACGCTCACAGACATTCCCACGCAGTTTCAAGCAGAATTATTCGCGGCTACCGACAGGATTTGTCGAAATCAATAGAGGTAAAAGGTAATATAGGGGTGATGACGGACAAGGTAAAAGAAATTCTATTTAGTTCATCAGGTACATTATCAAAAGAAATTGGGCGCATTTGTTTTCAAAAAAAATTACAAAGTTAAAGCGTCAAAGTTTGGGAGTGGCGACTTAATATATCAGTTCGAAGTCAAAATTGTACCCAGACGTGAAGTAATGCGACATTTCGAATCAATAGATATCTGTAATGTTTTTATTATGTGTGTAAAGAAAAAATACGAGTCCAATATATTTTAGTAATCTACCTGAAACACAAAGAAAAAAAAAGTTTGTCATCATCCCTATTATTTTTGAGGATGGCGAAAGCCATCTCTCACTTTAGCTGCTATAGCTAGAAGCAAATAGTTTTTTTTTATTCAAAACCAAAAAATATTTTTTTCTAAATCTATTTTCCTTTATACAAAGTAGCAGTGTTGTATCTTAAACCCCTCTCTTGTTTCCTTGTCTGTTTTTCATGAAAACGGTATATACAAAATTTGTAACCTGTGTCTAGATTGATTCAAGTCATTAATTAATTTCCCACATTTAAAGTAAACCCATATTTTTTATACATATTATTTAAATCTGTATGGTGCTATGAATTCGTATCGGCAAAATTTACTATTTTATCGTGAATAATTTTATTAAAATTCTTATTCTGTGTTCTTTGTTTTGTAAATAGAAAGTTTATCAAGTATTTAAAGAATAAATTTGTAAATAACTGTATACCACTACGATGTTACATAAACTTACCTAACATTGTAACGACATTGTCGACGACGATAATATTTTATCATGTATCAATATGAAATTGATTTCTCTGAACTGCGACTGAGTCATACAATATTCATAGTTCTTTTTCCTGTTTTCTATACGTCAGCCGGGAAAATATAAACAGGAGTGTATTAATTAACCCAAAATGTTAGAAATAAGTTTGATATTAAAATTATTTCATCGCTTCTATATAGTTTGTTGTTAATCCATGTATTTTGCTCCTATTGTTATGACTGTTTATAATTCCTCTGAATATATGCTGCTCTATGCAGCAATTTAAGTCCAAATCACACATTAGGCGGGTCGCGCCGTCCCGTACTCTAGACTATTGGTACACCGCTTAACTGGGACCTCGCTTGCGGGGTAAAGGGTCTGAGAGTGGGGGAGTGCCTGCTGCCCGCACCTCTCACGATCCCCGTTCTCGTCCTCATCGACTCTATTTAGCTATTCGGGGACCGTTAGAGCGGCTGCGGGCAGCAGGCACATTCTTGTCAAAATTACTAGCGCCCCCCGCCCGCACCTCTCACTGTCCCCGTTCTCGTCCTCCTCCACACCCTTTACCCCGCAAACGAGGACTCCTCAGTTAAGCGATCTGCCTATAGTCTATTCACTTGGACATAAATGAATAACAACACCTGCGCCCCCGGCTCCTGCCACTACAGACAGCGCGTAGTGCGAAGTGCTAGGGAGCGGTGCCCTTAGCATGAACCAATATCGAATTCGAACATGTAGTTGAATTCGATCTCGATACGCGTCAAATATCAAGAAGTTTTGTATGGATTTTGAACAGCACCACAATGAACGTAACGAGAATTAAAAATCTCCCATACAAAACTTCTTGATATTTGACGCGTATTGAGATCGAATTCGATATTGGTTCAATCTGGTACGGTATAAGGGTACGGGTGTAGCGTCGTTACAATCGTCGTATTACACGTATTTTCCTATAGGCATCCACACAGAAGCGTGAGCGGGACGTGCGTTTAGGGGTTTTGTGTTTGTTTACAAATAATTTGACTATTTGCTATGGATCTCAATGAAAATATAATTGCATGTTTACGTAGGCATACTTGTTTACGATAGAAACTATAATCATCACTGTTGGCGAACATGTTGAAGCTCGCCAAAATTTTGCAGCCGTTTCAACGCAAGATACCGCCGCAGCCGGCCCGCCCGCTCTGTGCGTGTGAGCACTATGAACCGCACACATCACGCACGGAACACGACTCGCTTTGTGTGTGTTTTGGGCTTTATTGTTCCATGGAACGATCCCCTGATGCCGCTAATACTCCGGGGCATCTTCATCGGCGTGGGTCCGTTCGCGGACAGTCGGTAACGATTGCTGCGACCACACCCGTACTCCCGGCGTGCATTAGGGGGACTGCGGTCCTCAGAATGTACGCCGGGTGACCGGTGCAGGAGTATTGTCTGGTTTTTAGTTGTGGTTAGGCAGGACCCTAGGCTCATGTCACCCGGCCCAAGGGCTGGCTGTAATACGCAGGCAGAAGTCCCACATACCTTCTTCTCGCTCCCCAGGTGGTTGAAGGGTGCGTAAGGCATTTCCCAGACAAAAAAAAAACGGACGATCCCCTAGGAAAAATCCTGAGCTACGCCAATGAGCTTTGACTCTGTGCATTCTTATACTCATGTGGTGAAGGTGATTAAAAATGTTATTTGTTTCGCAGGGAGAGATAGCTCACAGACGCGGCTTATTCCCCGCTTCGTACGTGACCGCCTACCACTCATAGTGCGCGCCGCTCTTGCCTCCGACGCCGTGTCGCGCGCGCGACGCCCACACTATACTATAGGTACGCTCATATCACTACACAAGGACGCTTAGTACGTAACACGGTACGGTAACGTTGGTTTCTTCACGCCCCTTCTACAATCAGTACCCTTAGTACGAGTTTGAGCTTACGAAAACTATGATAGTTTTCGTAATTGTAAATTATGTTTCTATGTCCATTTTGGTAAACACTAACCAAATATACTTAAAATTTAAGAAGACGCAAATGATTTAATGATAGAATTTAAACACTGTTTTGTATTGAAACGAAAACAACAAAATTAGTACGAGTGCGAGCTCACGAAAACTATCATAGTTTTCGTAATTGTAAAACTCGTACTAAGGGTACAGGCTGACTGACTATCGTCAAGCTATTCGAGACAGACATAGAGATTGGACAATGCTTTTTTCCTGGAAGGGTACGGTAAGTGGGACCGGGGAGCATTTCATCCCGCCTCAGGCAGCCCTGCTATATGAAATAACATGAAACTGCATGCGTAGCGGATGTCTGCACATATTATTATATTCGTATTCCCGCTTAACGCAGCGCAGGCCCTAAAATTGGACAGATAAGTGTGAAAGAGTAAGCGATAGTGCGGCCACAAATTCGTAAACGTATTGGCTGCACCATCGCTCATAAAGAACTTTCTAGAGAGATGTCAATTTCACTATCCAACTGTAAAAACTGATAAGGACCGATAAGTGTAAGAGATAGGAAGCTATCGTGCGACAATAAGTTCGTAAACGTATTGGCTACACCGTCGCTCAGAAAGAGAGAACCTTCTAAAGAGATATAAAAAAAAACATTTATAAAGAGATGTCAGTTTCATACAAGAGTTGCACGGTCCAATCTCTAAGTCTATTCTCTAGCGAGAAATAATATCGAGTGCTTAACGAAGTGGGTAAGGACGACGGTGTAAATTGTTCTTGTGGATTCGTTGAACAATCTCAAAATATAGGTCTTTAGAATGTGTCCACGGGTGCGTGTCAGATCGGTAGACTAGGTGGTAACTCGTCCGATTTTTCTCGATTCTATTCCTCATATCACAGCCGCGAACTAAACTTACCAGTAAATATTTGGTGATAATACACTACCAAACTAATGTTAAGTAGTTAGAGTTAGGTTAGATCTGTGTGATGGAGAAGTAAAAATATAAGGACGAATTTTAAAAGAATAGGAATGAAATTGCCGACACAACTGCCATTTCCATTTAGATTTTTGTTCCGAGTTTAAAAAATGAGAACTGTGTACGAGATAGAATTGATAAAAGTAATAATATTTCCAAACAATGCATAAGCGATGCAATAAATACTCATCGGCAGTTTGTATAAGTTATCAATAGATTTATGAATGAAAAATTAGTGTATTCGTATTAATCAAAATTGAAATTCTATTATATTCAAGTAAGACTATGACACTAGCGCCAAATTGTAAGAACTAATAGCGATCGAATCACAATTTGGATATAGAACGTTAATAATACATATATATTGGATTCGGTCATAAATTTTGAAAGAATAAACTTAAAAGTCCGAATCAGTAAATCACGTTTTCGCTTTTGAGATTAAATAATTTCAGTCTAAAGAATGACAGTGACTGGCACTAGGAAAAAAGCCTTTATTACAATGTAACAAACTTGGGAGTCAATTACACGTTTGATGCAACAATGCAACTGTCGATGCGAGCCCGTGGACACGTACATAAAGGCAACACCTGTATACGGCCCCGATTTGCTTCTATACATGGTGCTTCGTTTCCAACATAGAGAATAGACTTGCATTCTGTAATCAACTGTGAAGAAAAACTGGGCAGATTTGTGTGACAAAGTCGCAGCGATAGGCCCACTGTTAGTCTATGCGTTGATTGTTTCTTTGTTTGAGTCTCTTTCTAGAGAGTTGTCAATTTCATGCGAGCGTCACTCTTCTCTATGTCTATGGATTCCAACAAATCTTTACTCCGTTTAGCAATTTGAGAGTAGCAACGTCAAGCGGTCAGCTTGGCCGCTGGGTCTATTCGCCTTAATTTATGCAATACAATGATGATGTTTTGGTAGTACAAAAAATATATATAATTAATTAGTGCAGTGTTGCGTTTTGTTGTTCCGTGACGAATTTATGATTGTATTCTCTCAATAATTATATAATGTTTTGTAATCGTGACGTGTTGCATTGCGGTGCAGCATTTTTGTCCTTAATTTACGTGCCAGAATGTTATTTGTAGTTTTTTTTATAAATATATGTATTTTATACGTTTAGTAATACAAAGGTAAACGGGATCAAGGCGGTTTGTCATCCCCCCACACACATATACACACACGAGTTTAAGTTTCGTCTTGTTGTGATTTTTTTAAAAAGAAATATGACCATTATTTATCGTATTTTATTAGTGTATAATGCTCATTTTAAAAATATTTTACCATTTACATGATGTTAGTTAAGTGTTAGATTTTAAGTTCAGTTTTATACATTTCAATCTTATATTTTTTCTTCGGCATATGAAACATTTATGTAATCTGGTACCCATAGTCACGTAGGATAAAGATTAATGAAAATTATTGCGCCCTCCAAACGCTAAGCTCTCATCGTTAGTCTTAGTATCAGATGAACTAGTTTCCGTTACGCACAATATTATGGTAATTAATGCCTATGAAGAATATTCGTCAATTTATTTTGTACGGCAACATTTTGATAGAATGGAATGTACAGCGAGATTTTATAACAATAATAATTATAATATGTGTAACATCGTGCTTGTATTCGCTTTTGATGTGTTTCTTTCTTTATTTGTTACCGTTTTAGTGTTTTTACCAATTAATGAGCGAGTAACGAATGTAAACGAAATTAAAGTCTTAAAGAATAAAATTTAAATTTTTAAAATGTAAATTAATGCAGTTTTTTATAGTGAATATTCGACGAAAGTAGTATTTAGGCTGCTGAATGGTAAGGTTATGTATTAATTCCGATGTGATTATGTAATAATTCGTGGCACTCGAATTGTGTCATTGTACTTAGTTAGAAAGTAAAACATTTAGTCAAGACTTGAAATGGATAAAAAAACTTTGAGTGCTCGTTGATCCAATGTAGATATTTATTTTTGTTATTGTATTGTACCCAAAATTAGTATATTTATGGAGCGTACATGAATAGAATTTTAATCGTGAAACGTTTGAGAAACTACGTTTTAAGACTCGTGTAAGCATTTTAAGATCTACATTGTTACTAACACGCTGATGGGCAATCCCGCAATGCGGGCGATGACGCAAATTTAAACCAATGGAATGACCTTAAGGTCTATATTCCGGTGAAGAAGTGATAACAGTTCTTATTAACAAAAGTTCTATTAAAGAACCTCGCATTGTTGAGTCGGGTAAAAGTTTTACTTATTACTGCCGCAAAACTGCCCATCGCGTATTAAATGTAATATGTCCCGTATTAATTATAAACATTGTTTTTTTTTTCTTCCGCAAAGCATTTAATGTGTGTACGTATAGGTTAAGGAAGCAACTTACCAGCATGTTGTGATTGAACGGCCCACGAAATATTATACTGCAATACACCAATTCAATACTATTATTATAATATTGTAAACATGATTTTATATGTCCATAAAACTGTGCTTCTCGCTATAGTGACAAATAAGTGCATGAAGGCAAGTTTTAAAGAAATCGGAAGTGCTATATAATCTATAATAATCAAATATTTAAATAATTAAGTTATGATTCTCCAATATTGTGGAAGATGTATAATATTTTTTACTAATAAATTTAATATTGTAACTTTGTGTTTCATTTTCTGATGTTCTAATATAAAGTATTTGGGGCTTATTGTCTAACTTTAAAATCCTTTGTGATTGCAAAGCTAAACTAGTGTCAATGTGACATTATTAATCTCTTTCCCAAATATGAAATGAAAGAGAACGCGGAATACGAAAAAGTTAGACAAAGAAATCCTTATGTAATGTCGGCCCTCCACTTGGCTATTCGTAAACTTGTCAACTTCTTATCATGCTTTATAGGGAGTGAAAAGACTGCCTGATGAATGAAAGAATGAAAAGAAAAAGCAACATGCAGTCCGGCAGGGTGAGGGTGGCTGGTGTGGCAGGTAGAACCTTAGATTAAAACAAAAAGGGTAGATACGGCACTAACCTCACAAAAGTGATCCGCACAAGTTGTGGTCCACGACCCTAATAGCTTTAGTCACAACTTGACATGCAAACGACGTACATGTGAACTCCAAAAATAAATATTGATAATATTTTGTGTTTATATGATAAAACAATGCCTAAGTATATCAAAAAAGTATATTAAAAAGTGCTCAAATTGCTCAAGAACTAAAAATAAAACCCACGGCATCACTTTTCATTCGTAAGTAGTGTAAAATATATTTTTTCATAAAAAATGCTGTTAGTTTTGAATCTTATTGTGACGTCGAGTACTGGTCGCGTGATTGGTCGGTAGAGCAGTGACGCGGATCTCGCCGTCTCGTTCGCGCTGCCGTTGAAACTTAACGTGCTGTTTCGCTCGGGTCGGTAATGCAGTGACGCGGATCTCGCCGTCCCGTTCGCGCTGCCGTGGGATCAGTTTTTGTTTGATGCAAGTATGAACGTACCGTATCTACCCTTTTTGTTTTAATCTAAGGGTAGAACTGCTGTATCAGCTATCTTCGCATCTGGACTTCACCTTCACTTAACATCCGGTGGGGTGAAGTCATTTGTCAGACCTATCTATAAAAAAAAAATAGCGAACACGAATATCCAACTAAATAGCTGCCATCAATATCTCGATATCTGATCCTTTTTAGCTTGGTCATTCATCATTAAATTGTCATTCAAAGATGGGTCTTCAAAAAGATGCGTGGCTCCCCATCAAAAAGAGGTAATACAAAGATTGAAACAAAAATGTTGCTTCAACGTTATATAAATATTTCATTTATTAAATACCAACATCACATTCAATATGTCTTTACAAATTGATTTAACAATTAAATTAAACCAAATATACACTTACTACTTAACTAATAAAACTATTGACTAAACATTTTGTGGAACCTTAATCTATAGTCTGCTTTATATCTATTTGATAAAACATTTTATCAGAAAATTGAGTTTTATTTGAATTACTATAAAGGTTCAACAACTCGAACTTGGTAACGAAATAACAATACTTGTAATCCCAATGAACTGAGTAGTACTAACATTATGATACTATTAACATCAAGAGTAAGTAACTCCACGCAAAATATTTTATTAAATTGATTTAAAGCAGACCTTTATCATGTATGTGAATCACAGCTGACTTATGATCTCATAATTCTTGTTTATAAATAATTATGAGATGACTACACTTTTTCTAATTCAATGAATCTATTTGACTTTATTTTTACTTACCAATACTATTTCAATTTCAATACCTAAATATGTGTAAAGCATATAACAGGTAAAATATTGGGGTCTTTTATTAAAAGGATCTTAAGGTTTTGAATAAATAAAAGTTTATTTAATTTATGTGCGTCTTCTTAATATAACACAGTAAAGAAATTGTATAAACGATAAAAAAATACAGTTTGTAGAAAATAAATAAGTACAGCTATTTTTGATCTTTCTGAAATGAAATAAAAATAATTTATCTAAATAAAACAAGTCAAAATTGTAATATAAAAACTGTATCATTCTAGGAATAAAGTTGTTAAAAGGTTTTTTATGGCAGAAAGTTTTGTATGTTACTTTGTGAACAATACCTACAACTACTACAGAATTTATTGTCAACGATTTTGTAGGAATATCATTAACTTGGGTATTCCATTACAAATATTATGAATTATTTACAATATTCTAGCACCTTTGTCAATTCCACTACTACTTATAACACATCAAGTTAATATATCCACGCGAAATGTATAAATCACTGCAAAACAAGGTTATTTTATATTATGTCTATTTTTTTTTTACTTTTTAATATTAATTGTGGGGCTCTATTCATTTATTCAAAATATAGGGTATATATGGCTAAGGCTCAGAAACTTTGTACCATAACACACGTGAAGTCTTAACACATAATAACACACTGGAAAAACGTAACACGTTGGAAATGTTGTTAAGCCTGGTTCACAAAACATAATAACAATAAAAAAACTACCAAAAAAACATGAACCCAAATAATTCATGATAGCGAAAGGATGGAAATGTTTAAAAAAGATGTAAGGAATAACATTTCAAAATAAATAAAAGTCGTATACGTAAAATCAACATAAGTAATTACGTTTCAACTTAGAAAATAGAAATAACACACATTAAATAAAGTATTTCTTTTTTTTACTTTCTATTTATTTTGTTTATGTTAATATTTTTTTATTTTCTGTTACTTATTACTTTTCCGGCGTTTTCTCTTTATATAGAGCTGTTCCCTTTAAATATATAAAAGGAAAATCATGTAACAATAGTTAGAAGCACAGGTAAGTAGTTAATGAAATCCTTTTTATCATCAGAATTTACGCAAAATAACTATAATATATATAGTACAAACCTTCTATAGTACGAATTTTCTACTTGTGTAAACCAATCTTTATATTTTGTCGTGTGTGACGTCACACAACTTCGTAACACGCCACACACGAGAATAAACACACGTGGAAAAAAAAATACGTCAACCTCATGGAGAAATTTCATTCTTCAAATGTAAAGTACAGCAGTTTAAAAGAGTATACTTTACATTGTAAAAAGTCGATTTTCACACACAAAAAACAAAACAAGCTCATTTCTTACCTAACTATGTTAAATTCCTGCCGGAAAGTGTGTAGAATCCGATGACCAAAAAGTAACACACGCAAGTTGATGCTTTTTACATGAAAACTAATATGCCTGAGGTTAAACTCTAATTAACAATCAAAAATCTATATCTTGCCATTGCAAAAGATAGATTGAATTCCTAGTGTTGATATTGCATGAAATAAATAACTTACCACATAACAAAGTAAACAACACACGTGAAGTTTATTTAGGGGCATTTTTAAAATATGCTCATTCACTGTATTTTTTACTTTATCATTAAATTTATCATTGATACAGAAAGAAGAATAAATTATTACTATAGATACAACACATGCGATTTAAATAAAGTTTAAACTTATTTTTTGTTATAGTAAGCACATGACACTTGTATGAAACTTATTTTTATGGGTGGTTGTTGTTATGTCGGCTTTTTTTGAAGTAAATTGAATATATTCATTTATTCAAATAATATTAATACAATTACAATGATAGGTTTGTCCTAGGAACCGAAGTTCTTTTATTATAAAACTTAAGGAAATAAATTACCATTTTTTCATTGGAATTTCGGCCAACCTTTTTTGTTGCCTAAAGTACAATTTTTGTGAGCCTTAACCTCTGATCAACAATTCTATAGATAACGAGATGCAAACAAAATCAAAGCTAAAAACTGTCCGCGTATGTTTAAACTTAGGCCGTATACAGAAAGAAAGCCGAAAGCCGATCGGCGCTTATCGGCGCCGATTCTTCCTACATAAAGGAAGCCGATTAAAGCAGATCAAGCAAAATGTCGGACTCATCGGACGATGATTTGGTTTTGTTAGGAAATGTTTATTTAAAAATGCGAAAAACAGGTATACATCCTATAAATAGAGAAAGGAAACGTTTCGGAGAATACCATCATTTATTTGTTAAAGAATTGAAATTTGATGATCAAAGATTTTATGCATAATGCAAGAATGACTAAAAAAACATTTAATTACATTTTGGATTTAGTGGAAAACCGTTTGATGAAGTATTGGTGTAATTGGCATAAACAACCAATCCTTCCAGAAGAAAGACTTGTTGTCACCATTCGGTAAGTACGAAACAAATAATTTTAGCGCTTAGTTAATAAAAGATAAAGTTATTAGATTTATAAAAAGATTATAACTTAGATTGATTTAATCTAAGGATAATAATTCAAATACAAATTATTTATAATTCGACAATTAGGCGCCGATCAGTACGGCGCCAACGCCCTTCGAGGTATCTATGATGACATTTTATGTCGCACGCGTCACAAATTCTTCGAGTGCATTTATCGTAAACCGGCTGGATATACTAAATAAATATTTCCAACACTCACACCAATTACCCTAGCCCCAAAGTAAGCACTATCAGGCTTGTGTTACATCGATAAGTATATTTATATAGAAATAAATATTAAACATCCATGACTGGAGTACATATGCTCATATTCATTACATAAACATCTGTCCTCACCGGGATTCGAACCCGGGACCTCTCGAGTCGGCGACACCATGAAACACGGCGTTTAAACCCCGCGCGGACCGTTGGACAGTCGAGATTTCGCAGAGCTCCGTGAAAAAATACGAAATAAATACTAAAGTGTCATTTTATCGACAGGTATCTAATAAACGTTTGTTAATTTAACGCATTGGAAGCAAATTTTGTTCTAATACTTACTATAAACTGATTTGATAGAAAATATTTGTGATATTGAAATGCATGGTCGGTAATATAGCTGTCTCTTTTCCTCACGGTCCGTATCTGTTACATTGCGAATAGCGCATTCAGAACTGCGCGTAAAATCAAATGAATAAGGTGTATATTCTTCCGCATATAGCAATAAATTCGTAAAATTCTACCTTGCTTGCATTTTGAACTGTCATAACTCTGACGCATACTTTTTAATTAAGACCTTAAAAAGTATGCATTAAAGGTGAGTTTCAATGATTAAATAATGCCTTATATTGTTTTTCACTACGCGATCAATTTACTCCGTGCTTAGTTCCGTGGATCGTCCAATGTACCTATTAGACAGGTTTCGGCCACGATTTTGTTCGTGAGGTTGTATCTAGGGTATTTAATATCGTTGAAGGGCTCTTAAGACATAGGTAATATTTAAATAAAGATACTTAACCGATTTAAATAATAATTTAAGTAAGTCGACAAACTAAAACAAAATCAATTAATACCTACTCACCGTCTTCATTCATGGCCTCGCTTATTTCTTTCCAACATTTGTCAACCACGTATCTATTACAGTGCCTTTTGTCGGTTTTGTCCCACAGAGGTTGTTTAGTGAATACTAAGGATATCAAAATGTCATTATCCATTTTTCTACTTAAAAAATAATTGCGTGTAGTAATTGACGTACCTGTTGTCGTTGTTTATTAATTTAAAATTGCAGCTGACCAGCGCGAGTCGGCGCCGATCGGCGCTTATCGACGCTTATCGGCGCCGATCGGCGCTGGTCCATAGAAAAAGGACCAGCGCCGATCGGCTTTCGGCTTTCTTTCTGTATACGGCCTTATGCAGCTACATTCGATTCCCAATGAACAAAGATAAATGTTTAAAACAGTTAAGTGGAACCTAATAACAACTGTCTCTCAAAGAAATAAGGTTACAAATAACAAAATGTTATTTCGCACATACGACCTTTTATATTATAAAACGAACTCTTGTTTCTTTTCTAAATTATATCTGATACTTGGGGGAAAAAGACGATAAAGGTGAAAAAAGGAAAATGTGAAATCAACGTTATGACTTACTATATATACTTCGTTTTGTATTAACCGAACTAATTTAAAATAAAATCTCACGCCTCAAGTGAGGCTATATTTACCGAAACGGATTTTACTCGCTGACCCGTTATCTATAGAATTGTTGATCGAATGGCTTAACCATATAAGGTTTCAAAATATGTTCGACTTTAGTTTTGGTAAGTAAAGGGTTTAGTTGTGAACGTTCACCGACAAGAATCACCTACAAAGATACTTTTATCATAGCTATACTTTTTGGTATAATTTATACAGTTTTAATCAACTGGAGAGGCATAGGGAACGGAGCCCTTACAGCCATTGTCTGTTATTAAAATACAATATCTTAAGTTGATTTACCATAAATAGATACAAGACCAGCTCAACCCACCTAAAAGGTTTTCCCACCTATAGCAAGCATGATGTTCTCGAAAGCTATCCAGTTGATGAGAGCCCACGGACCCAGCCGCATCCATAGAGGCAAGAAACCTCTGTATAATGACATGAAGCCTTCATTCTTCACTGATTGCTGGAGACAGTCGATCATGCCGCGGTACAGTTTGCCTCTGGAAATAAATGTACATACGGAATTGGTTTACTACGGTATTTCGAAAAGGAGTTTTTAATGAGCATAAACATATTAATGACTACCTGTGCATCGCGGTGTTACCCGCGGTTTATTAGGAATATTTTCCCGCAGTAAAACGTAGCCTATGTGTTAATCCAGGTTGACAGCTAACTCCATACCAAATTTAATTAAAATCGCTCCAGCCGTTTAGACGTAAAGATGTAACAAACATACACACTTACAAACTTTCGCCTTTCTAATATTAGTGTGATATTAATTAATGGGCTTATGCCATAGGAGACCATTTGCCATTGTAGTTATAGATTCGATAGAAAAAAGGGGTAACACTTCCCAACCGAATACCAATCAATTGAACCCAATCCCCTACCACGTGTAGTCTCAAAACATTATCATCTATAAAAAAATGAACACCGCCGTAAGCAATGTATTTATTTCTTATTTGTTTATTATTATTTTATGTTAAAAGTGTGTCAAAAAAGCATAAGGCCTGGCTGATGGCAAGCGGCCAACATAGACTATAGACGCTTGCGATACCAAAAATATCACCCGCACCATTGCCTACCCTGACCTACCCCGTTGAGCCCTGGAACCTTATTCACCGATTATTATATTATTTATGTAATTAAAAAAGTATTTAATTGTTTTTATTCGAGATATATTCGGCCAAATAAGAGTAGAAAAATAAATTGAATACGAATATTTCAGTAATAATTTTGGGCACATAAGATGGTGCAACCATCTGCATTTTCAACTGCAACAAAGTGTATTCGAGCTGTAAGTAACTCAGATTGCCTACGAAACATTTTGATTGTGAAAGCAGCTACTCAACAAACACTTTCTGTCGCATGTATTTACAATTCACTAAAGCGTTACGTTTCAATTGAAAGCAAAAGGGATTCGGACGGAGTCTGCGCGCTGACTTTGACCTCATTCTGTGACCTCAAACGCTCAGCTGTTCAGCGCCTTCCGAAGTAAAACAGACGTTACTTATCGACCTAAAGTCTATATATATATTTGTCTATTCTGCTATAACAACGCCTCTTTACACGCAAGTCACGTGCACTTGTTGAACACAAAAGACAAAACAACTACTTATGTTTTAGTTTTTGTAATAGGTTTATTCAAAATATGTAGGTATTTTTTTTTTAAATATTTATCCATTAATTTTTAAGTTTGATTAAATTTGATGCTGTCCTTTCGCCATTTGCGATAGCATTAGAACTAGACCATTGGAGATAAATCAAACATCAAACGTAATTAACGTCTCTAAGGGCAGTCGTTAGAGTCAAATCAAAACAATCGAAAATGCAATGTCTCTGAAGAAGAATTTTGGTGAAAATTGTAATTTATTTTAGGAGCTGTAATTTTATGTAGGTATTTACTGTCTTAAATGTCGGTTTTAAATATCCATTTTTAAAAATGCAAAGGCAGATCTTTTTTAAGGATAATATTAATGGTTTCTTATTATCTTAGGTCGGTGGATCAATGTCAACGAATTTATAAAGAGGTGGGCGCGTCTCATATAAACAGTTTCTATACATTTCAAGTGTGTCAAGTATTTTCCACAACAATGGAGAGATAGATGAAAAGCACTCAACTGAAGGAATCCTTCCAAGGCCTAACAATTGTATTATACAAGGGAGTTGTCCCATCAAATAATTCATTCCATGAAACCTTACAAGGGAACATGAATGTCCAAGTCAGTATTAGTAAAATAGGGTTACTTTAGAACGTTCAATTGGTGGTGATAATAATTATTTTGAGGAGCTCGATGGCGCAAGTAGTTAGCGCATTCGGCTGCGATCGTTGAAGATAAGCAACTTGCGCAGTGGTCGGTCATTGGATGGGTGACCAAAAATTTTCTATCTCGAGCTCCTCCGTGCTTCGTAAGGCAGGTTAAGATGCGTGGATGCTAACTCCCGTTAGCACCCACCAATCCGCACTGGGCCCGCGTGGTGGGTCATGGCCTAATCTCCCTATTCCATCCATAGGGAAGGCCTGTGCCCCAGCAGTGGGGACATTAATAGGCTGATGATGATGAATAATTATTTATTTAATACTAGCTGTTACCCGCCCGCGACTTCGTCCGCGTGGAATAGTATCTTTGGGTAGCATTTCTAATTATTTAGTAGGTATATTTAAAAAAAATAAAAAATATTTGTTTACATTAGGTATAAGGTACCTGTATTCCATTGAGTGGCAGAAAGTAACTAGGAAAATTTATTGGTCCCTTATGTCCAAGAGACACTTACAGGGGCCAGCGTCACGTTGTGTACAAAAATATTTTAAAATGACCTAATTTAAAACATTTTGGTACACAACGTTTGCTGTTTTGTTATTATTTGTTAAAATGTGGAGATTGTTTGGACTCGACACTCGCGAGCAGGCCACGTACAGTTGAGAATGTAAAAAACAGTTTTTCTCTAAATTGACACCTGCTACTTTAAGTGTTTGCCTTTGCGCTCTGTTAATGGTCATTGCGAAGGCTGGTTTGAGGGGAAACTGGATTCTTTTAAACTGAAAAGGTAAATCTGTAGGGATCATGGGTATGTGGGGAATCAAAACTTCTTCATCATTAGCTATTCCTGTCATTATAATTGCTCTAATAATTTATTTATTTTATTTATTTATACTTTATTGCAAAACAAACAGCAATTGGCGGACATAATGCCATAAGGCATTCTCTACCAGTCGACCAGTAAAAGCGTGAGAACTAAAAATACGGGGGTGCAATATGGACATATGCTAAATAAACCAGGTAGGTAATATATATATCAATAGAATACACAAATATTAAAATATATATACACTACATACATGTAAATATATATGCTATATCTACAATACATACATACACATAATTATGCCAGTCAAGTATGAGAACGCAGATTAATTATATTAAGATAATGCTCACGAACCAATCCCTTAAATACAAATTTGTTAGGAGCTTTACGTATATTAGGGGGCAAGTCATTCCAGAGTCGTACAGCCGTGATGGTGAAAGAATATGAGACGAAGCCAGAAGAGTGGACGGGAGTATGCAGAAGGAGGTTGTCCGTTGAACGGAGGACACGGTCATGAGAATCACACAGAAACCTAAATCTGCTTTTCAGGTAAGCTGGTGTATGTGGATCGTAAAGAAGATTAAAAAGAGCACAAACAACTCTTAGGTTCCTACGCTCACGAATAGGAAGCCATTTGAGTTGATGACGAAAATGTGAGATATGGTCGTATTTACGTAAGCCATATATGAAGCGAATGCAGTTATTGAGAAGACGATCCAACTTATTTAAAAGATTTTCATTAATATCTGGATAACATACGTCGGCATAATCGATAATAGGCAGAATTAAAGATTGAACAAGAGCAATCTTGGTGCGAATAGGCAGAAAAAACTTAAACCTGTATAGAGATCTCAAAGAATTGGTCACCCTATGCGAGATGAAATCGACATGGTCTATCCACGAAAGTTTGTCATCGATAATTAAACCCAAATCCATCACGTGAGTCGAAAAAGGAATAACAACTCCATCATAAGATAATGAATTAATCCTAGTAAGGTCAATTTGGGTCAGCAGACGAGAACTGCCAACAATGATAGCTTGGCACTTAGTAGGATTTACTGAAATACCAAAAGAAGCTGACCAGTCATTGATCACACTGAGGTCGCGATTTAGACTAGCGACAGCCTCATTCAAATGATGGCTGTCACTGCTGGCGTACAGTTGTAAGTCGTCCGCATACAGATGGTAAAAAGAAGTTAGAAGTTCTGTGAGAGTATTTATGAAAAAAGAAAAGAGTGAAGGAGAAAGAATACCGCCTTGTGGAACACCAGCAGTCTGCTCGCGCCAACCGGATAACTCCTGGTCGAAACGAACAGCCTGCCAGCGATCTCGAAGATAAGAAGTAAACCACTTCTGCACTGAAGATGAGAATCCTAGTCGAGAAAGGACAGCTATGAGAATATCATGATCGACAGCGTTAAAAGCGTTTGAAAAGTCAATTAAAACTAATAGTGTCAGACGAGCTTTTTCTTGGCCATCCCGGACATCTTCAAGAACTTTGGTGAGAGCAGTAGTGGTACTATGGCCGGGACGGAAACCAGATTGAAAAGGGCAAAGAAGTTTATGAGAATTAATAAATGAAGTAAGTTGTTTGTGGACTGCGGCTTCAATGATCTTTGATAAGAATGGTAGAATAGAAATAGGCCTATAGTGGCTAAGCAAAGTGGGACTTTTGTTTTTAGGTAGAGGGATAGTTAAGGCTTTACGCCTGAGATCAGGAAAAGATGCAGATGTAAGGGAGAAATTAAGTATATAAGTCAAGACAGGAAGTACAGAATCTAGCACTGAAGTGATCATAGTTCGACTAATGTTATCATAGCCCACAGCATTAGACTTAATGGATAGAATTGTCTTTCGGACTTCATCTTCAGTTAAGAAATTGAAACAAAATTCTGAATTTGTTGAGGGGACCTTGGAAGAAAGAGCAGAGATAGTAGAAAATTTGACATTGGTAAGAAGAGGTTTAATAGAAGAGAAATGTTTATTTAGCTCATCTAACGGAAAAGACGGCTTATGCCGAAGTTGTGATTTACCAATGCCAAGGGTACGGAGAAACTTCCAAGTATCCGCAGGAGAAGATTCCAGGATATTCTTATGAATGTAATGGCGTTTAGCTTTTCTCACCATCTGATTGCAACGATTTCTAGCAATTCTAAAAGCATTCCAATGCAAATCAGTACGGCATCTTTTATAAATGCGAAAAGCTTTGTCACGCTTTCGCATGGCCATACGCACTCCAGGTGTAATCCAGGGCGCCGGAAGACGTTTTAATTTGACCTTTTTTATAGGAGCGTGCCTATCAAATAACTTAAGAACCTCCGTGTTAAAGTAGGTGACCATGTCGTTGGCAGAGGGCATTTCTCGAATAGGAGACCAATCAATTAAACTCGCATCACGCTCAAGTTTTTCCGTATCCATCCTCGCAAAGTTCCGAATGGAGATCATTTTAGGCTTCGATTTGGGAGGCTTCACATCGTATGCAATATAAATAAGATCGTGTCTGGAGAAGCAAGGAGCAGAGATTTGACCGAATTTAACGACACGATCTGAGGAAGATACAATGATATGGTCAATCCACGTATCGGATGTATTGAGATTATTAAATAATATTGCGTCCTAGCTGCGTAATTTGCAATCGAGTCCCGTTGCATAGTCTCGGCGCTTCGAGATTTCTCATTAACAAAACAGGAACCCCAATTTTCAGTCTCAGCTTATGTGACGGCACTCCTGACAGCTCTAAAGAGTTTAGAAACTCTGTGGGATAAGATGTTACCTGTTCACTGTCCATGACAATATCTACTGACAAATATTCGACAACTTCGCCTTGCACATGTGACATCATTTGTTCATTGGTCTGTCCCACGATTTCATTGGTCGGTGCTAATATTGCCCTTTCACACAGCCACTCTATTCCTCATGTTATATTCCAAACCGGGATAGACGTTGTTTTTAAGATCTTCCAAGTTGTGGACAGCATTACAAAATTCTTGATTTAATGTAATCATGCCGTTAGCGTCCGTAGTCATTCGACCTTCCCCGATTTTCAATAGAGCAGCTGCATATTGCCCCGATTGCGTATCATTATGTAGTTGTACTCGCATGTTTTTAATGAGACTAAATTTTTTTACATGCACCCATAATGTAGACGCCTTCAAACATGCATTTATCTCATCTGCTGGAGTGCCTCTGGTAATGACAGGTAGTGTCTGTCGAAAATCACCAGCAAGCAGCACTACCATCTCACCCATTAAATTCTGGTTGCTTCTGATATGTTTCAGAGTCCGATTGAGCGCCTCGATCGTTTTTTATGCGACATTGTGCACTCATCCCGCACCAACAGCTTGCATACAAAAAGTTTGGCTTCGTAGTTCCCAATCCCATACAACTTTTCACCCCACCTTTTAACCCCTTACAACCCCCTTTTCGCAATAAAAAGTAGCCTATGTCCTGTCTCAGGGTCTAGACCATCTGTATACCAAATTTCATTCAAATCCGTTCAGTACTTTTGGCGTGAAAGAGTAACAGACAGACAGACAGACAGAGTTACTTTCGCATTTATAATATTAGTCCGGATTAATCTTTTGTGATGGTAACGCATACATAAATCAAGACTTAGATGAAAACTAGAGTGCTCTTAAACGAATTCATAAAATTCTTAAGCTTAGGCAGTCCAATAGTTCTTTTACAAGTTCAAGTTTTTTCTTGTTTGTTAATAAATGGCGAAAAAGGTTTCATTAACCAACTTTCTTGCGACAACTGCATAACATATTTTACAATGGACATTTATATATATTTTACACAAAAGCTTATACTTTTTAGTGCTCAATTTTGTAACGAATGCGTTGCGGTTCGATCTCAGAGAATGCTCTGAAATCAAACTGAAATGAACCATGCATGCGCCTTTGCGCAAAGATTCTTACATAGTTATAAAGTATCAATTAATCATACTTAACACTTATGGGTACGGCCTAACCTAAGTAAACACAATTTTCCCTCTGACTGGTTGTATCGAAAATGCGTAATACTGTTGGCAAATTACTTTATCGATTTTCTCAACCCTTCTTCTTTCGTTAAAGACAAAGTTAATTAAAATTTTGTATTCTCAAAGAACCTGGTTACGGATATAAATCGATTTATCTTAATAGGTATATCTTTTCTAATAACACTAATGCACCGAGAGCACCTCAACTATGAATTCGTTGGTATAAATATCAATAAGAGTCTTAGAGCATAAATGCTAATAAGTGTAGTACAGGCATAACTATAATTGACGGTGGTCCGTGATTGATAATAATTTATACTTATCTATAAAAGAATGAGAAAAACATAATATTAGCCTTGAAATATTTATAGTTAATAATAAATGTGTCAAAATTAGTACAGAATATTTCTCGAATATTGGAGATGTCAAAGAAAGATTTTTCTTTTCTTGATCTCTATTAACCTTAACAGCGTTCAAAATTGCTTTAAGTTAGGCGCTCGTGATATAAAAGTATCATTAGATTAGGTAGAGTTAAAGAATTACTTTCTTGCTGGTGGGAGAATTAGCTGGACCTGGTACAAAGTAGAATAATCGAATATGTCGAACGCGCGCACCAGGAACTGTTCCAAGTCGTATGAACGCTGCCTCAACTCAGCTCGATAAAGATCCAACACCAGCATGCTGCCATGTGCCCCAGCAAATGTTTCAAGCGCGTACGCTGGCAGGTAACTAAGTACCAAAAACAAATTATAATCACCTTGCGCCCGTCCGGTTCCACGTGTTTCTTCATGAGGCAGGTCTTCATGACGTCAGCGGGATTGCCTAGTACCGCGGCCACAAAGCCCTCGGAGAAAGCGGCGGCCGCGTGAAGCAGCGCGTTGTCAATACACACTCAGAACACTATATTAATAAGATATAAGCACCTTCCGTCCGGCCCTACGGGTTGGTTCGCGAGGCGAGTCTTCATGACGTCAGCGATGGTTCCCAGTACTGCGGCCACGAATCCCGTGGAGGAGGTGGCAGCCGTGTGAAGCAGTGCGTTTTGGACCATATACCATTGTTACGAGTAGTCGTGTAAGCAATAATAGCTTCCGCCCGGCCCCACGGGTTGGTTCATGAAGCGGGTCTTCTTGACGTCAGCGGGGGGGTCCCAGTACTGCGGCCACGAAGCCCGTAGCCCGTTAATAAGGTGGCGGCCGCGTGAAGCAGCGCGGTGTCAATACTCTGCCAGAACACTTTATATTTACGAGATATAAGTACCTCCCGTCCAGCCCCACGAGTTGATTCATAAGGCGGGTCTTCATGACGTCAGCGGGGTTGCCCAGTACTGCGGTCACGAAGCCCGCGGAGAAGGCGGCGGCCACGTGAAGCAGCGCGTTGTCGACCATATATCATTGTTACCAATAGTCGTGTAAGGAATAATAGCTCCCTTCCGGAACCAAGGGTTGGTTCATGACGCGGGTCTTCATGACGTCAGCGGGCGTGCCCAGAACTATGGCCACGAAGCCCGTGGAGAAGGTGGCGGCCGCGTAAAGCAACGCGTTGACAATACTCTGCCAGAACACTTTATATTAATTAACGAGATATAAGTACCTCCCGTCCGGCCCCACGGGTTGATTCATAAGGCGGGTCTTCATGACGTCAGCAGGGGTGCCCAGTACCGCGGCCACGAAGCCCGCGGAGAAGGCGGCGGCCGCATGAAGAAGAGCGTTGTCCGCCATACCGAATTCCCGCATCAGAAACTGTTTCGAGTAGTCGTATGCTGCTAAGTCGCCCATATTGACTAGCGCGGCGCGCTGCACATTTGGTACGGCACCTTTGAAGAGACAATTTTATGGTAGATTAGACTAGTGGAAATTTATACTTTAACGCATAGTGTAACACGTAATTCAACTCTATGTGTTAAAGTATAAATTTCCACTTCCTTTCCGGCTAGAGACAGCGTAGGCAACGCGAGGCTATTTCGAGCGCTTACCATCAGGCGGGCCATATGTTTCTTTACCACTGTTTTTATATAAAATGAACACCTCTCTAGAATCCTTCGATTTCACCTTCAGCATGGGAATACCCTATACCAAGGCGTACGCTCCTCTATACTTCCTAAACTTTACAGGCTTGCACCATAGGATCTACCGACTTCATCTATACCTTCACAAAGTCATTGGGCAATGTGACCAGCTGTGCTAGGGAGCCTGAACTTCAAGGACCTATAAACGCAAAGCAGGAAATTGATTTCGCAAATCGTCATTGATTACCTCTCCAGAATCCTTTGAGCCCGCCCTCGGCATACAGCATGGCGTACGCTTCCCTACAGTTCTTGAACCTCAGAGGTTTTCCCTGCAACACCCTGCGGCCTTCAGACTGCATCTGCACTTTCACCAAGTCCGTGGGCGAGGCGATCAGCTGCGCCAGCGATCCAGCTAATAGACCACCTGTGGGACTTCGGAATTCGTTACGTTTGTGTTTTACTTCGCATTTAAATATTGTTAAGGCAAAATTTCACTAAGCCAGAACCGGATTTTAGGCAGGGCAGGTGTTTTTTTTTTTTTTGGGTAACTGCCCAAAACAGGATAAAAAAATTACAGAGAAAAAAATATATCGATGGGTCTCCAACCAGAGTGCAAATCGTAAGTAGCCCGGCCTAGATTAAGGGGCGTCCACTCCTTCGTTGCCTTAGGGCCCCCACACCTAAATTCGGCCCTGCACAGTAGCAGCACCACGCTAGAACCGCATTATACAAGGGCCCGCGCTTATGAAGTAATACTGCATATAATACGCCCCCTAAACGTCATCATAGTTCGTTTCATCATATTTGTCATCTGAGCTTGACGTCACACTGTTGTGTTCAACTGTTTGACCAACCAAAACGAGATTTACCATAATACGGCCTCATCAGTGCGATTAACTTGACGAGGTAATTAGTCTCCTTTCATTTTTTTCTCGACTATCCTTAGCCCTTCCCGTTGATGGAATAGGGAGTTTGGGCCATGACCTACCACGCGGGCCTTTTACGGAATTGTGGGTGCTAGTGCTGACTTCTGCCGACACAGTCAGAACTCGGGACCAACGGTCTCACGAGCATTGCGAAGCACGGAGAAGTTATTTTTTTTTTCATCCAAGCTATTATAACCAGTTCACAAAGTTAACACGTTAATGTTAAATGTTTTTTTAACTTCGACGATCGCAGACCGAACGCGCTAATCACTTGCGCCATCGAGCTCCTTCATTAAGATACTTATCGAATTCAGGCTTATCAGGCCAGAAGTGTATTGAGTTGGGGTCATTGTACGACAAAGGGAAGATAGCGGGGACAAACGATGCCGCATAAAAACATATTATAATAATGTTGGTCAAAATCAGAAGAAACACAGAACAGTACCCCTAACACGAACCATTATCGAATTCGAATAGTTTGCAAACCGAAATGTCAATGTCAAATTTTGTATGGAAACTTGAACAGCAGCGGCACAAAGTACGTAACGAGAACTAAAACTCTAAAGTACACAAGTACACATTTGACAATGACATTTCGGACACGCAAATTCGAATTCGATAATGATTCGTGCTAGGGGTACAGTACTGTGCCCCTCTAGCATGACCACCGAAAAGGGATATGATAAAGCGATATATCGACATTAACTGTCAGACTACTATGGAGTTTGACAGTAGTCTGACAGTTAATGTCGATATATCGCTTTATCATATCCCGTTTTGGTGATCATGCTAGAGGGGCTGGTCTGGAGCATTAATTATTCCATGAAGTATTTTTATGCCGAGCGATCACTATAAAAATTTAAGGAAACGACAGTTCGCCCTTAACTCAGCAGCAAAGTATGATTAATAAAAAAAAACGCGAGGACTCGTACAAAAAAACTGCTGGTCGTGACTTAAAAGTTATAAAAACTAGTAGGTTTTCCTAGCGCATTTACATTTGTTACAGCTGACTGATTTAAGAAAGATATTCGGGCAACTAGGACCGCGGTCGCAGTCTGTTTACACACTCTATTTCATCTTCTTACCTGCATCCACTTTAGTAACCATTCATAAAGTTAGACAAAGACTTGGTGTATCCACTTACCTAAAGATGCAGCTGCCAGGGACACTTTCCCCTTTTCATCTTTGAATACGTCTCTGAGCTGCTCGTAGAAGATGAGCCGGCATCCGGAATAGATTGCGTGTCTGTGGTACATTGGCATGAGCCCGGTCCATAGCTTGAGTACTCCCTCCTGCTTGGCTATGCCCACCGCCGTCTTGATCATACCTAAATTTTCCACCTGCAAAAAAACAAACAAACAATGCAGTTGTATATATCTGCAAACAATGCAGATATGTTGCCATGCAAGGCAATATAGGTAATTGGGTACGTATTTCCAATGTCATTAGCACTTAAAAGTAGTCGTTAGGCGTATTAGTTGTGGTATTATGTAAAAGGTAATCTTAAACATTAGGTAACCAACCAGTATAGGTCGCAGGAAACTTTTTGAGCAAAACCAAAGACAAATGAACTTGCGCAGTAGACGTTATTGTATGTGAAATAGGCTATTTGACAGTATAAAAAATAAAGTACCAATTGTTGGTATTGTATTTTATATGAATATTAACAACGATTTTACTATTCTGGGGGAACAAAATGTCAATAAATTTTCTAAAAAATCATTAAATAGAAACGATTATTTGTTCTGATGGTCACGGGATCGAAAACGCCTCGGATTGGCGAAGACTAAAATTTTTAAACAAAAAATAAAACCGACTTCAAAATCGAAAATGGAACTAAAATGTTAAAAATAATATCTGGTTCATGATTTCAAAGTCAGGCGGGATCAAGATTGAAACATTAAATAGATTTTCGTTTCTGATCGGTAATAATACGTCTTTCAATCTTGACCCACCCGACTTCGAAATCATGAACCAGATATTATTTTTAAATTTTTAGTTCCATTTCCTTTTTTTAAGTCGGTTTTATTTTTTGTTTATTTATTTTTTATTTCATCCATTTTAGTGAAAATTACATCGATCAAGTAAACAAGAACACAATTGACGGAGTAATCGGTGAGCATGCATAAAAAACATCGTGCCTGCCTTTGAAATTTGAAGATTTCCCTCGATTTCCCGGGATTCCACCATCAGATCCTGACTTGGTACCAATGGGACCACCTCGGAAGTGTACTCTTTCGAATAAAAAAGAATTTTGGAAATCGGTCCCCACTTGACGGAGAAATCGGTGAACATACATATATATATACAGTCGAACATAGAACCTCCTCCTTTTTTGAAGTCGGTTAAAAATGACGTCACTCGCTAGTAAACTTCCGGTCAAAGTGACATTACATTGTATTGTTTGAAGTTTTAATGACGGTCGTGTGACGTCACATACTACTGAGACGCCATATTCCCCAGAGAAACGCTTTCGCGGCATCTTCAAAATGGAATTTTTTATTTTGATTTTTTACTGAAATACAAAGAATGATGATTATCCACTTTTTATGGACTGCATAAACATTAGTAAATAAAGTGGTTTTCTAAAACTTGTCAAATACTCTATTGCTCATGCGCAGGTTTCCTTGTCTATGGTCGATGCTTATGAAGTTTCCTGAGATGTATACCCATCATAAACCCAGTAAAAAAGACGGTAAACAAAACTAAAACCCGTAAATCTCAAATCAAAGAATCTTAAAAATCTTTCTCTTACCTTGAAGCCATGTTTAGCCGCCGCTACTTCGCTTTGTATTTGAATTCTTGTTTTCGTCAGGTCGAATGGATAAGTGGCTGTAAAAATATAAAAATGAAAAAATAAAACATCTGCTTTCAGAAAAATAACGAGGTTTCTAAATATTTGGTTAAAAGTGATAGCTGATTTTAAATAACAAAGTACAAATTCGGCTAAAAACGGGAATGGTCCAGCTAAACTGTAACTAGGGATATTCATTTAATATCGATATATCGAATTTATTCGATATTTACGATATATATTTATAAAGTAAAACTGACTCATAATAACGGCAATAAAAAAAGTAAAGTAAAAAGAAAAAAAAAGATTAATTTATCTAAAGACCTTCGCCTTTGCCTTCCCTAAAACGGGAGAAACTAAAAAAAAGTAAAGGAGATTGGCAAACAGTTGAAACAGTGTCTGAAACTGAAAAAAAAATATTTTGCAAATATTTGACAATTTTTTTAAATATCTCCACCTTTATTTGTGTAACTATGAAACCTTAACATTTTTTTTTAATCTAATTTTTGAATCTACGTTCTTTAAACGTTCAATAATTCCATATTAGGTATGTTATTTACTTTGCACTGTTTCTGATAATTTGTAAACTATATAAATCAATATTTTTGTATGGGGGTGTAGTACGTTTACTGTTGAATAACTGATCGCACTATTTTTATTTACTTACTATTTTGATTTTTTCTTAATTAGTCTTTAGTTATGCCTTTCATTCTGTTTCTTTATTTGTTGTTGGTTGACTACTTGAGCAGCATTAGAAAATAAGCCAACAAAGTTCCAACTATTGGGCTACGCAAGTAGATAGATAATTCATCTGAAATTGCATCCTCTGATTGTGTTAATCTCCAGTTCCTGCTTACTAGTTTGTAATAAATAAATAGGTATTGAAATAAAATATTTCGATTATAAATTTGTATTGTTTCACTTACATCTATAAAAATCATCTCACCACTATCTTAGTAGTACCTATATATATAATTTCATTAAAGTAATACTCATAGTAAAATAAACTTGTGAAAAATATTTGATATTGAAAAAATATCGATATTTTCAAACGATATATCGAAAAATACCGATATGACTTTCCGATATTTTATATCGAATACATGTATCGATATATTTTTTAAGTGTACACCCCGAACTGTAACCCCTTTAATACTGATATTTCAGTTATTTAGAATAGAATTTTATTTATAAAAATGTGTTACAGTATAGTATGGTTGGCAATAAACATAAACCTTCTTAAGCTATTTTTAACTAGTAGGTATTTCTGTTCTAAGATAGCTTAAGTTTAAATCTAAAGAAAATTTCTTTTTGGCCGGGTTTCCCCAGATTCAAATATACAGCTGTTAAATGCCCAATAAACTAATGTTGTTACGTGCGTATGTGTGTAAATTACATAATGTGTAAGTGGTAGCTCAATATAGTATCTATTACCTATTATTTATTAATACACACACATACACACGTAATATTATGGTAAGTACACACATCAAAAGTGTCTAGGGATCAAGCATTTTTATGCGGATTTCTTGAGATTGAGATGTGGCTTTGTAATAAATTTATGATTTTATAAATTTATATGGATCCTTTTTGGTGCATTTCATAATTTGAATCAGGAACTGTGAATCAAATTCGAGTAAAAGATGAAAATCAGCTGTCAATATTTTCCCTATAAAAACATACAACGCATTGAAGACATTATTAGTGCTACTGTTTCCCTACTACTGATTAAAACCAACGTTATTATGGAGCGGCGACGTCATTTAAGCAGGGAAGAAATGCTCAGAGCCGTGGGAATGATAGAAGCTGGTTCCCGGCAACGTACTGTGGCTTTAGCTCTGAATACAAGTCAGAGTGTTATCAGTCGACTTTGGACACGATACCGAAGCACTGGTACCGTGGCTGAGCGCCATGGAGGACGGTATCGCTGCACCACACGGAGACAAGACCGATACATTCAAATCTTAACTCGAAGAGCTCCAACAATAACCGCCATGATGTTAGCCGTGAGGCTTCATCACTCTTCAGGGAACTTAATTAGCGACCAAACAGTCAGAAACCGCTTGCATGAAGTGAACCTTCATTCCCGAAGACCGCTACGGGTACCACCTATAGCAATGCACAATCGTAGGATTCGATATCAATGGGCTCTTGAACACAGAAATTGGGCAGAAGAACAATGGCGTTTCGTGTGCTTTTCTGATGAGTCTCGTTTTGGTATGAGACCGGATACAAGACGTATACGACACTGGAGAACCCCTGGACGCCAACAGCGATTAAAATCCTGCCAGGAAGTCCATCCTTATAGTGGTGGAACCATCATGGTATGGGCGGGTATTTGGATCGGCGAAAGAACTGAGTTGATTTGGATCAGAGGCAACCTCAACGCTCAAATTTATGCTGAGACGATTGTATCAGACGTCATCGTTCCTCTACAAGTGCAAATCGGTCCCTTATTGCAGTTAATGCATGATAATGCACGATCGCACACCGCAAGAGTTGTAAGACAGACTCTCGCCGCAGCTAACATCAATGTCCTGCCCTGGCCTGCTCAGTCGCCAGACTTGAACCCGATTGAGCATGCATGGGATATGCTACAGAGAAGAGCTCTGCCGAATATGGAGGGTATCCAGTCGCAAGAAGACCTTTTTTTGCTGTTGCAACGAACATGGGCGGCCATTCCACAGCGTGATTTGGATGAACTCATTTTGAGTATGCCAAACCGATGTTCTTGTGTTGTTAGTGTTCGCGGTAGAAATACGGATTATTAATTGTTTAAGTTACCCAATAAAATTTTAGAGAAAACTGTTATTTCAGTCTTTTTTTCGAACTTTTGTGTTAGTGGTTCAAATGTCAAAAATCCCTTTATTAGGAAAATGGCAAATTTCTTTATTAATGCAAAGGTGACTTGGTTTATCGTTACTGTGACAAACGAAAACACTTTATTTGATGAATCCTTAAAGAAAATTTTAATTAATATCAATCAGGAGAAAAGTTATTGCAAAAATATATGTTGATCCCTAGACACTTTTGATGTGTGTATATGGAATTAAGCACTCATCGTTCTTATGCTCTATATTAGTAGTAAATAATTGAAAGTAAAACTGCTTACTTAATACTCAAAGAAAAATATTTTATATGTGGGTAGGTTAGGTATACATATATACATACTCTTACTTAAACTAGAACAGTTTGGTATACGAGGGACGGCACTCGATTGGTTTCGTGATTACCTATCAAATAGAAGTCAAGTAGTCAAAGTCTCCACAGTTGTTAGTTCTAGCTCCCCTAACAACTATGGTATTCCGCAAGGTAGCACGCTTGGCCCTACCCTGTTTCTGGCCTACGTCAACAACCTTTGCAAAATCAGAATGGACAACGGTAACACGCTGGCTTTTGCAGACGATACCGCCCTAATCTTTCACGGTAAAACTTGGTCTCTAGTCCGGAAATTAGCTGAACGAGGTCTTAAAAAGGTTATAGGGTGGTTAGACAACAATCTTCTAACCATCAATGTACCTAAAACAAAATTCATATGTTTCAGAATCTCTAGTGCTACTAAACCTCCCATTAATTTTAACGTAAAAGCCCACTTTAAAACGTGTTCCTCCGATACTATTGACCCCCCTTGTGATTGTCCCTATTTAATTGAAACTAATACTCACAAATATCTGGGTATCATAATTGATAAAAATTTCAATTGGGCACCTCATATCTCATCCCTAAGCAAAAGAGTACGAAAATTGCTTCACATTTTTAAAAACCTTCGTGAAGCAGCTGACCCAACGCTTATTATAAAAATCTATTTTTCTCTTTGTCAATCCCTACTAACCTATTGTATTCCGGTTTGGGGTGGTGCTGCTAAAACCCATCTTTTGGAGATTGAAAGAGCACAGAGAGCTGTTCTCAAAGTCATGCTAGGTAAACCCAGGAAATATCCGACACGCCAGTTATACCAGGAGGCTAATTTACTAACTGTTAGGCAGTTATTTATTTATAATACTATCCTTCGGCATCATAAAACGATAGACCCATCCCAACTTCCTAAACATAAGAGGCGATATCGTACGAAAGTCCCAAATTATAATTCAATATTTGCTCGACGTCAGATGTACTATACTGGGCCGTTTCTCTATAGGTACTTTGATGATATATCCCGTATAATTGAAATGAATAAAGCTGGTTTAAAGACAACTCTAAAAGAAAAATTAAAATCTTTTGATTATCTTGCGACAGAAAAAATATTAAAAGTTGATAAATAATCCTGTATTGGCATTGCAATCTTAAACTATAAAATGTCCTAAATGTATTATTTATTTAGAATTTAACTTCTTTATATGAATAGTGTGTGTCAAAACTTCCCATCATGATTATTTATAAAGTGTCTCACTAAGTGCATACAATTTGTAAGTTTTCTGACCATTGTTTGGGGTGGAGGGTTGATAACCTGGGATACAGGATTTTTCCTAGTTCAGGTATCAGCCCACCACAGTCTGCAACATTGTACCATTGCTTCATGTAAGTTTTATTTAGATTGTGGTATGAGAAAATAAAAATTTATTATTATTATTATATACGAGACAAACATACTTTACCTTCCGAACAAGTCAGCACTGTGTTACGGCAAGGCAAGATTATCGCTCAAGAAAAACTCTACGGTCTATCAATACAATACTACTTACGATAAGGAATAACAAGTTTTACTTAAACATGCAGTAAAACAATCAGATTAAGCAAAACAGGAACTACATTTTACAAATAATATATAAACAAAATAGTTTATTTAAATGAATATACTATTTTGATCTAATGGAAACTAAAAAAAACTTAATATAATGCATTCAACATTTTGACAGTAAAAATGCATGGATTTTATGAACAAAATTACGCTAAATCGCATAAAATACTTCTATATAATTATATGTAGAAGATTAAATATATAATTATACATAAAGTATATCATTAATTAATATTATTAATTAATATCATGATATATTACAGCTATGTTTGTAAATAATATATATCCACAACTATATTTTTTATTCAAAATAAAGATACAATATTAAATAACAATCAGTTTACTTGCATTAATTGTTCAGTCAGCTCATAATCCATACTACTGAAATACTCATCTAAAGCCTTTCCACATTGAAATCTAGTGAGATTATTTATAGTCCTAGTTTTACATATGCGATTCTATACTAGCGGGGCCAGAAAATCCGAAAAACTATGTGCAAATGTAGTCCTACAAACGGGGATGTCAAATACCATGTTGTTTCAACGCAATGCTTTTGATAAAGAAGAGAGCAGAAAGATATGGTTGTGTTAAAAACCGTAATTGTTGTCCAGATATTGGTGTGCGATGCATTTTATCTGTTTCCTCCGCGTTTACTGTGAGTTTCTCAAACGGTAGTGAGTGAATAAAAGCGTAAGTCTATTATAACTGTTAAATTAATTTGGGATATATTATTGTACATTTAAAGGTGAAATTTTCATACAAAAGTTTTAATAAATATGGAGAAACACGTCTCACTTGAACAACGGCCTGGACGAGATTTGTTGAATAGTTGCTAAATTGACTTAAACCGCAAACCTGCAATGCAGCTGACCTGGGACCGGGCCGTTGCTATAACTATGGTAATCATAGTTATAGCAACGGCCCCCACCGCGGCGCAACTAGCAACTATAGCATTTATAGCACTACTTTGATAATTGGTTTGTCACGGAAAATTAGTTATTTTGCCACTTTACGTTATGTACCTATATTCAATAAATATATATATATATTTGGTAAGTATTAGGTATGTTAGTTACATAAAATCATTACCTATTATAAAATTAAATTAAATAGCATCTACACAAAGAAAATAAAGCAGAGAATAATGAATTATCCTACTTTACCAAATTACTCGTAGCTTTCGCTCAATGATTTTCATTTTTTCCAATCTAGGCATCATGGCTTACTATTTTTTTGCGAACGGTTGTTTTTGAAACGGTGCCGGCGGCGATCCTGCCCCATGGCTCAATGATCGTTAGGTTAGGTTCTAAACCCGCTAGCGGCGAGTTATAAATGGATCCCGCAGTTACGCCTGGAGGGTGAGGGGTAGATCGGGGAGTTGGTTTACCTGGTAGGTACGGGAGTTGGTCAGCTGGCTAGCCGCTCGGACTGTGGTCCGTGTGACTAGCCAGGTGACGCTGTGAACAGAGAAGCCCAGGATCGGCTAAAGCGGGTGCGGACCGGGCTGCTGTTCGGAGGCGGGGTGGTTTGACGTATGCCACGCTTGCGTGAGTGCACGTCAAAGTATAACCGCACCGACTAGCGGCCCTCGGGCGGCTCGCCGCTTGCCGAATGCACCACGCAATTACCGGCGTCGCGAGGGTTTGTTAACAGCAAACCAACGTGGCGTTGGTCATTGTCGTGGATATAATACAGTTTCTCTCCCCGTCATCGAAAAAAAAAGGTTCTAAACCCGGTAGGTAGAATTTGTATTTATTACATAATGTGATATTCTGTCGTGATGAACATAACATTATATGTCACCATGTATCATAGAGCAACATGTCTAAATATTCATAAAATTTGGTCGATTAGCTGATGCACTTTTGTATGAAACAGCACATTTTTTTTTTCACGTTTTCAGCGTTGGTCCCATAATAAAAGTTGTTCCTGTTGATGGGTAGAATCACCCCCTAAGAGGTTGTTGGTGTTTTAAAATTAAGTCAGTATAACAAGCTCTGCTTACTGAGGGAATTATAAATCAGTATAAATTAACCGGAATTTATTATTAATAATACCGTTGCATTCAAGTGTCATATGACCTCGATCGACCATATTATAATAACCAACGGACTTTGGAGTTAGAAGCACTCGTTACCTACACAAGCGCTTAACTTATTACAAAAGGTTATCGCTAATTGAAAATGAATAATTAATAGGTACCTATAATTATGTTTATTTAAGCATTAAACTGCTAGAAGAAAGAAGAGTTTACTTGGATTTTACTAGTAAACTCTTCTTCAGGTACCTATAAGTTAGAATTATGCTGCGTCTCATTTGTAAAGAAATCAAATGGCTAGATTCTGACGGCTGGAAAATCTCAATTGAATTTAGCATCTCACTTTGACAGCCTCCATAGGCTATAATTAACTTTTAAGTTTAAGATTACACTATCACATCTGTCTAAAAACGACTAAAAATGTAAAAAAGGTAAAAGTACCTTTTACATTGAAAAGGGCCAACAAAGGACATTTTTTTGCCTAAAATAGGCAAAAATGTGCGGGGGTGATACAGTTTTTATTTTGTAAATTATAATTTATGTAGGTAAAAGTAGGTTCAGCCATATAGTTTTTTTGTTTTTTTTTTTAATGTATCTCTATCTTATTCTCAACTGTATAGTGTTGAAAATATTTCAGATAACGTTACAAGGCAAAATATTATTAAAAAAATATTTCTAAACGATTAAAGAAACATATTTTTATTATTTAAAATGTCTCATTACAATAATAAATAAGCTTACAATTAAAAATTATCAGTATTTTAATGTTTTTGGCTGAATATATGTGAAATAAAAGGGTGCTTTTAAATATATAATTAATCAATGCTAAAGATGTTATATTTTTTGTAATTTCCTTTCTGTTTACTATTATAGCCCAGCCTTTATACAAATTTATAACTGGTTTATACTCGGTAATAATAAAAATAATGCGGAAATTCATTGAAACTTTCATGGCTAATCTTCTAAGATATCTGCAATCGAAATTGCGCGTAGAAGGATATGCTATGGCTTTCTGCGAGTAGTCTGTAGGAAAGCCCTGTGTGCTCCCCGCCCTAGGAGTGGGAACATTAGACTCAAAATAAAGAAATGAAAAAGCAAATTTACCTGTTTCCGCCGCCCAAGAGCCCAGAACAGCGACCAAGTATCGCGTAGCTACGGAGTCTGTGACGTGAGAGACGGGACTGTCCGCGTTGTGTAGGATCGGCATCTTGGTCACCTAGTTGTAGTTCGGTCCATAATATCTGTGGGATGTCAATCTTTCAGTTTAGAATCCAATATGGACGTACCTATCTTTATTCTCACACTTAGGAACCGAGTTGGTCACGTAATGCGCGTTTTCAATGGCATTTCCTCCGGCGTATCAACTTTCTGTTTAGGTTTTCTCAAATGACATGCATTCATTAGGTATGTATGGGTGTCTTTAAGTGAAGGTTTGTTTTGTGTCAAAAGGGTGGCATACAAGCATCTGGCGCGGCCACTGTAGTCTATAGGCGCTTGCGATACCAAAAATATCCAATTCGAGCGGCAAAACCGCTATGCCCTTTAACAGTTTGTTTTTTAAGGTTTGACAGGGTCTGCAAAGCACTTGTGATAATTCTGGTATGGCAGGTGTTCATTTGCTTCGGTAACCACTTACCATCAGGCGGACTGGTTTCTTTGCCACACTTAATATAAAAAATATGTACCAAAGGGCTTTGGCCACCTCCATCCGCCGCCCCTGATAAACTCTAATCTTAACTACAGAAGATCCATGTTTACATTCGATGACCGTGAGATTTTCTAAGTTAATTTCCATCTTATGTAAAATTTTCCATTTATCAAAGCGCGGGTCTGGGTCAGATTATGATAAGCCTCAATCTATGCTGCTTAGCAGCATAATTATAAAATTGTATTACATACCTAAGATATTAAATACGTCATAATTATGTTATGATGAAAAATTGCACAGAAGCAGTTTGATCGAAATTATTGCAAGTGGGTTCAAGGTTTTTATTATAAGTACTTATTGTTTTCTTTTTTGATAGTTATTAATTGTTTAAAACGGTAGTATTTATTTGAAAACGAAACGGGTGTAAAATTAGTTTATAATACTTAATTACTGAACTTCAACATCCTTTTCAGGATGCGTCGTCAGAAATATAAAATATAAACTTCAAATTCTGTAAAAAAAATTATTAAAAACACATTTTAAATCCAATGAAAAACTTGTTTCATTTAGCGGTAGTATAGTATAGTATAAAACTAAAGATATTTACGTATTTCATCGTAACCTTATTAATATGATAAGCCTCTATGTATGAAATAGGAGAGTAGACCGTCACCAGCAAACTAGAAGTGATAATTTCTACTCATTCATTAGCCATCATAATTCATAACCCACTACTCGGACGCAGTGCTAGCACTGTTAGCGACTGCAGCTGCAAATGCAGTCGGGGCTATCAACTTAGTATCAAGCCATTGTAGCGTAAGCAGTAAAAGTAGTTTTGTAACATTGTAACTGGTAATAAGCTGCCCTACATAGAAGTTCATTCACACTGAATGATGGTATGTTCTGTGGTGTCTAATATCGTCAAATACTTTTTTTTATAAAATATTTGGGTTTTTTGTCGTATCATATTAATAGGTGATGATTTCATTAAATATGCTAGTTCAAGTGCGCGATAGGGATAGGACGAAATAGGTATAATCGGCTAGGAAAGAATGAGGTTTATACGTGTAACTATCTATGTATTTGTTTTTATTTCATTTAAGAACTTTGATGTAAGTGGGTTATAGTAGGTATACACAATACTTAAAAAAAATCACACACAGTATTAATTAAGTGAAATCCGGGTCAGTTTATGACGACCTCCAGAGTCAGACGTAATGATAATTAATTTCTTAAAATGCTTTTCCATTTTTCTTGTTCGGCAATCAAACAGTTAAGTACTGCCGAAATGATTCATTCAAACATTGCAGAACAGACACTTGTCATATGATATCATCATCATCTCGAGTTTGGTATGGTGTATATAATACACCATGTTTATATTATGTCCTCACGACAGTTATCCCTTCAGGCAAGATCGGACAGGCTGGTGGACAGCCATGGCCAACAATGAGGTGGCATTTTTTCTAATACACCAACAAGAGACTCTCCTTCTCAATAACAAATAAAAGAATGGAGAAAAACAGAGTGCGAAATACAGAAATTATTTCTAGCCTTTCGCCCGTCTGATACCTGAGATGAGACTGAGACTAGTTTGAGTTAGTATTCCTTTGAAAGTAAACATTACATAACATATAAAAATTTGCAGTTTGATGCTTGTTATTATAAAATATTGAGATTTTAACTTCGTTGTACACAGTATGAAAACGTATATTAATACGTAGAATATTATGTTCTCCACAAAACACTACCAAAATTATATCTAATTTTCACTATCACCGTTGGAAGGAAGTGCATCGCATTCGGTTCGAGACGACTGGCACTTCGCCAGTCATTTTATGCTCACCAAGAACGGAAACTAAGGCCATGATATTTACGTGTAGGTAATGTTAAGAATGATCCAAGTGCACTAGTATAAATTGCATTTTACGGGTGATGTTTCAAGTCTTATAAAATAATTATTAATGAATTAATTATAAAAAATATACATATTTCAGTAGTTCAATGATTGTATATTAATTTTATGAAAGTTTTTGTAAGTAATTCTATTTAATTCAATATCAAAATACGAGGTAAACTTGCGTTATTTTTTGGGAAAACTCACGGAGGTTAGATGTTTTTTTAATAATTAATGAGATGGAAAATCAAGATTCTAATACATTATGTTTCAACAAAAACATATTTCTGATGTCGTAGTAATTAATTTGATCTAATTTATTGAACATTATTGATAGGTTGAGGCGTTTGAAGTTGTGCATATTATCGTTTTTTCCGTAAACTAGCTGCGGGAGAACGACCAGTACAAAAAAAAGGAAAATAGTATTTGCAAATATTCTACATTAACTTTCAATAGGATGAATAAATCTACTGTTTACGTCTATTGGAAATAGTCAAAATTTCTTCTAAGGGGGTAAACGAGGCGCTCAAAAATTGCGATTTATTGCAAAAAATGTGAAAGGGCTCTTAAAGATGTATATACCATCTAAAAAACTCTTTATACTGGATAAACGACAACACTAAATATCTGATCTTGTAGGAATTTGGCTCACAATGTGAAATTTGGTCAAGCTTAAAAGATGTTTATATTTTGATTAATGACCTTGTTTCTCGTCTGATGGAGGGACAAAAGCACCAAAAGCTGTAGATCACGATAAGTACTGTTGATAAGTATAGCGGCACAAAGAAAATTTAATGCTTTATAGATATACATATGTGTCGCCTCGCTATCATGAGTCATTCATTGGAGATCAATAAAATAAAGATTCGTTACGTAAAGGTCATCCAATATAAAATCAATACTGCATTAATCATCTTCCATTCTAACAGACAGACCTTGCACAGAATATTATGTAAGGTAAGTACACAACACCGAACAAAAACTTTTTGGATGGAACATTTTAATTTAACATGGTACTATGAAATTTGAAATTCGTTTCTCTTTGACTTTAAATGCAGCTTTACTTTCTTCTACTCGCTATTTGCATTGTAGCACAATTTTATATATTATATAGCATACATGCCTTTTGTACCACTAGCACCAGCCAACCTCACCATAACGGTCGCAAGCGCAACCCTATTTCCTTACTTGGTGAAACTAAGCTGTAGTGGAAATCTATCTATAAAGTGGACACTTTCACAGAGAGGGCTCCTATATCCAATACAATGTCCAACATAATTGGTAGGGAGCTCTAAGAGCGCTTTAATTAGAGCGTCCGTCTGGGGAAATAACCGTGAGTAATAACAGTAACTACAAGTGAGTCGGTCTTCTTGAGAGAAGTATACCTATCACTGAATCCGTCTTTGTACTTTTAATCTCGTCGTCTCTGATAAAAAAAACTATTTAGGCACTATGACAACCAGCGCAGATGAGGGACTTTTGTCCGCAATTTTTTTATGTTCGGCCAAAATTGATCGCTTACAACTACCTACATCGAGTAACGCACACAAAGTCTACCGAACCGATGCCGAGAGACTGGATAGTCTCATGTTGTGTAGACAAAAGTACGCGGGTGTCCCCTAAAAAGTAGAACTCATTGAACATTGTCACATTTGTTCTTTAATTTCATAAAATTAACTTAAAGACCTATGTTACTGAGTGACAAATGGGTAGATCTTTCCATTCGCCTCAGTCAATATTATTGACATTTCTTTGATATTAATAGCATAAAGTCAACATAATGTACGTAATCGGTGCGCTAATGGCACTTCATAGTCAAATAAATACGTTTTTATCACAGACAAGGGATTAATGTGCGTGCCCTCTGAGAGGCAACAGTGGAAAACGAAGGTTTCGTAATCATAAAGACAAAGCAGTACCTTTTAAAAATTAAAGTCAGAAGGATAAATTTACCCCGCGGAGCCCTGGATGGAAAACTTTTACTCGCCGAGGTAATCACAATACCATCAATCAGGTCATCAAAAGGTAATGTTATTTTACTGTGTTCTTTGCTTTCTTTAAATCCCTCCGAGAGGCCAAAATGGAAAACGTAGGATTCGTAAACATTTATCTATCTTACTAATAATGCCGATGATGATCTGCGACTTACTAGATCTTGTTATTCTGTACGGGTAAAATATATTAACCTCGTAGTCACAGGGTAGAATTTTGACTACTTCAGCTAAATTTGAAAGCTTGCCAAAGAAACTCAACTTTGATCACAAAGGACAATGTTAAAATTGGCCTAAGAACCAACACCAATTTGGCATTTATGATTATTCTTAGTATATTTTTTGCGATAATTATCAGTATTTAGATTGCGACGGACACTTCCTGTTAAGTAAGCTAAATTAAAAAGTTAAAAAATAATCTGAGACAATAAATACCATTTTATGTGTATAATCTATGGCAGCGCTGCAAACAAAACACTCTTTCTTCCTAATGCCGGCACTTCACTTGGCTATTCGTATTTGCTATTTTAAATTATGACATCAGTCTGTCCTTTTCATTCCTTATTAAGCATAACAAGGACAAACTGTTGTCAAGTGAAAGGCCGGCATAAAACTCGTTACTCTGTGGTTGTGGTGCATGCAGTTTGCATTCGTAGCAATCTGTGGCATTCATGCATTCCAAAGAGTAGTTTAATATACCAGAAA